ACACTCGGCGAATAGCGGCAAGACACACCGTCAAAGCCAAACCCCGAATACGGCCATCTACCTCGCCTCGTGAATCATTCCGGCGCGCTCAAGTAGGCGAACGCAGCAGACACATCGACCTGCTTGATGACCAGTAAAGGCCCGCCTCGGCCGTATTGATGCGTGCTGTTTCATCCAGGTGAGTGATGCAAAAAATTGAAGTCAAGTCAAACTCACCGAGAACTGACGAAGGCAATCAAACGGCTTCGTTCTCCAACTTGTTGGCCACCATTGCCGTGATGAGCTTGGACATCGGGACGGGACTGGCGGGTAGAAAATCGGGTGGGGCTGCGACAGTGGAGGGAGTGCGGATGGGCGGGGCTGCGACAGTGGGAGGGAGTGCGCGGACATCGGGACGGGACTGGCGGGTAGAGAATGAGGTGGGGTTGCGACAGTGGGAGGGAGTACGCCGTCGATGTCGACGACAAACTCGAGAAGGAGGAAGATGTGAGAGGAGAGAGAGAGGGAATGATGGTAAAAGGTGAAATCGGTGAGCCTTTTATATCCTCAGGCTTCGGAGCGCCCACTAAGCGAGTGACAGTAGCGGTGGATACCGCTTGACAGATGTTCTTAGGGCGGGATTCGAGTCAAGTTGGAAGATGTAAATTGTGTGGGAATGATATCGGAGCGGCAGTTCAAGACTTATAACACTAGATTCTACTGTCCCTGTGCCTATATTACTGTACTGGATGAAATTAGACTGGTTCCAGCCTCCACAAGTCCTATAATACACGTTATATGTGAAAACTGAGTTTCCGGAAACCACAAGAAATGGAGCATTGGCGAGGCTCGGAACGCCCATGGATAAAGACCTGACAGCTAGAAGACATGTGCTATGATGCTTCTGGCGCGTTTGCTAAGCGCAGGGCCAGATTGCCGTTGGAAACGGCAGATCAAACTAGAACATCTCAACATATCAAGCACTTGCCTTGGTCTGTGAGGAAATCGGAGAGCCAAGGCAGATACGCGCTTACGTAATCAACATTTCTGTGAAGTTTCAAGGTAATCGGCGAAAAGTAGCATGCGTAGATGGCAGAAAACTGAAATTTGTGGTCCAGAGAATATACACATTTTTGATGTTATATATCGCGGGAGAACGCGTCGCTACTGGACTCAAGTGTTTACTTAATACATTTCCTCAAATTTTCCAAGCATTTGGAGCATTTCTGAGGCCGCACGTCGCGAAATACTGCGCGAATTTCCTTTTTGGTCGAGTGGTGTTGGGTCACGTGACCTCATGTTCAACAGCAATTTTGCGCGTGAATGTGCAACAAAGCCCTTTAGAATGGTCAGACTAAGACAATTTCTCTTCTGATGGGAACTATGGAAAAAGAAGTAAAAGACTGTGGGGAACGGGAAAACAGCAGCGCGCCAGCACTGCAGCATAACCACTGCTCCATTGTTCGTTTCTCCTTGCTCTTCACAGCATCATATCTGCACTAGGCCCCGTCGGCAAAATGCCAAATTTCAGTTCGCCGCTCCAGATTTGCATGTGTGCGCGGGCTTGGGTCGCCGCACCCATTCTCATTCGTCGCGCCCAAACGTACATGACGCGCCGGAGTCGGATCTCCGCTCATAGTTTGGTATCACAACGGCATTTGCTTGCCGATATCAAATTTGATGGTTTGGTGCTGGAGCTTGGGAAAGCTCCAAAAGCGGCCCAGAAGGACTGGTTTGTGTACTGGCCAGTCAAGTTTTCTGTTGTTATATAGTCCTCCATGCGCTGCAAAATTTTGCGTGAAGACGGCATTGATGTTGATCGGAACTGTTGTGTGACACGCTTCCGTTTTCCCGTCATGTTGTCAAAATAAACTGGTCTGCCAGTTCCCCGCGACTTACGAGAAGTCTTGGCAACACTCTGCTCGACCTCAACACAGTCAAATTCAAGGTTCATCTGGCAACTCTGTGGCGGCAGCACCAGCCTTGGGTTCAATATCTTATGGTAAATATTACCGTTGTTTCTTGTGCGGTGGTTCAAGCCTTGAGATCGTAAGGTACGTTATGGAATATGTAATTCTGTGACTTGGAATCGGCGCGTGAAGGTCAAGTCACGCTGTCTACTCTTTTCTCTGTTTACCACCACCTCGACTGGTTAGTTTGTTTTCCTCGTGAGTCGTGCCAGGTTCAACAAGCTCATTCTTCCTCCAGTGTTCACTTTGAACCCAACGACTGCCATGGGTTCTGCGGCTAGCTCGTCCCGACAGGACGCGCAACGCGCTCGACAACTTGTGTAAGAGTATTGCCAACGCTGCTAAAAAACTTGTGCTGACTCCTTATACAGCCCCGACGTGTCATACGGCGCATTCACTCTGCACCACTATCAATGAAAATTGCGCAATGCCTCTGTTTGTGGCTCAACGCTGGCAGGTACGGCTTGTCTGTGCCCGTTTCGCCTGGGCTTTTGCTCATTTCCTCTCCAGGTTGAAGACATTCAGCATTGTCCAACTTGTCTCGTCGTCCGCCGCCCGCACGGCGTCCATCGTCTCCCGTCTCCCCCCTGCGATTGCCGCTTTGCTGGCCACGCTCGGCGACCCTCCGCCTTGGGTTACATCAAACCTGACCGCGTCAATCATATCGGAAGGTAAGCCCCCAGACATTAAACCTAATTTTTTGTGCTGAGTCGTTTTCCAGATCTTACACTGTTCTAGCCCCTTCCGCACCAGAGTCTCTCGCACACCAAATTCCATGTTTCGGGTCGATTGACGCGCGTGGCTAGCTTGCAACTATGGCCCACATTATACCTCAGGCTCTTTCGCCGTTGACATGCAGTCTCCATCCCATCTTCTGTCCTCCCGGGGCCACAACTCGCGTTCACTTTGTTTCTCGAAACGATCACGGACGCAATTTCACGTTCAACATTAACATCCACACCGATGCCCTTCACTCCCGCCACCATATTCTTTCCCCCTGCCATCTCGACAGTCCAGCATGATCTCGGACTAGCAACAACTGCGCGATGCTCGTCCAGTCCCCATCCCTTCGCCAACTCCATCCGGCTCCCAATGCCTGGCGTCCATGAGTATTTCCAGGCTCAACTTGAAGTCACTCCGCATCCATTGCCGGTGCTGGCGGCGAGCGCGCAATAGCCATTCGCCTACCTCAATCGAGATTTACCCGGCCCTGGCCAGTCTCTCTGTTTCGCGAGCGCCGAGCCGCATCCCGAGAGATTGCTGCGACTGCAGAGGCTCTCTCAACACGGGACGACTCGGTCACCTTCCACCACTCCTGCTCAAACGACAACACACTCGCCAACCATTCTCACTCGATCGCCTCAGGCTTCTTTCCCGGTGAAGGCAACGACTCACGCCAACCGATGCCGTCCACCTGCAACGAAGCCACTCACCATCACGGTGGTCACCTTCCCCGTTTATCATGACTCCGACAAGCGCGCGATGTCAGCCATCCTGGCCGGACGTGGCATGGCACTCACCGGCGTTGTCTTGTCGGCTATTTCCCCCCCACCCCAACGTATTTGCCTGCGAACCCGAGCTCTCGGAAGCGCCGCTGGACTGTGCGTGTGATGGAGTGCTCGTCGGCTGGGAACAAACTTGAAGTCATGACCGAGCACATGTCGGGCTGGCCATTGACAACGATATGCCGTCCGCCGACTTAGTCTCCCGCGGTGACCCCCAACTGTGCATTATCTCCACAACCTATGCTACGCCTCGGGTTTGATGTCTTGGCCTGGCCTTGGCGTCGGCGCCGTTGCAACCGCGGGATGGAGGCTACAACTGCCCTCGGGAAATGCTATGTGGTCAAGTCTGCGCGTGGGACCAAGGCCGTGATTATGGCACCCGGTGAGTCATCACCTTCACCTTTTTTTTTTTTTGTTGCCTTTGCTGCAATGCCTTCGGGAGGGGAGACCACGCACGGACACTGCAATAACTGCAGAATGGGAATGCCTTCCCAAAAAACGCGTTGGAAGTTCTTAATTAACGCGTTTAAGCTGTGAACCAGAGACTGACGATTTTCTAGCGCCAAAATAAGAATCTAACGAGGGAATGCTAAGTGCGAACTTGTGAGATTTAGCATCACGTGACCGCGTTTGGGCGGGCAGAGGAGCCGGCGCAGGAGGAGGCGCAGGAGCCTGCGGCGTGCGGCATGCGGCGTGTGTGCCGAGATGATGTATATACAAATTGATATTCGATCATCCAGTAAAACATTAACGAGGCCCTGCTGCGCGATGGATTCCGGTGCAAGTTGACAGGATGCTATGATATTGTCGCCACTGTGACTTATCCCGAACTCGAGGCCCGCAGGCTTACCGATAACGAGGGCGCAGTGCTCACAATCCAGCGACAACCAGGCTGGTTCAATGCATTACTTCAGTCCTGCTGAAACTAAAACCTTTTCAGGAGGCGTATAGTGCCAGTGCTGACGCGATTCTTGAACTGTTCTGTGTTGGACATAAACAGTGGGTTGGAACCAGACTCGGAGTCCATCGGGATGCGAACCTCCTGTGCATGGACGGGAATCTCTATAGCCTCTTCAATGAAATGCTTGTGTGGCTGGAGGAAGTTAACGGCCAGGCAAGAACCTCTTTACCACCAGTCTAAACAGTCTCATTCCAAGTAGCCCCACACTTACAACATCGTATCGAGTCTGCCCAACTTCTCTTCCTTCCGAAGCGTGCAACAACACCGCGTCACGTTCACCGTTGATCCAACTTTGGTCGACACGTGCAAAGAGCTGAATCAGGCTGTTCCCGAGTTGCCCTCCCCGGTCCTGTTAGCGATACGGGCAGCTTGCTGTCGTGTTGCTAACCTATCTGGAGCTCTCGAGCAGCACGACATCGTCTTACGCGAGCTGGCTCGCACTCAGACTCTTGCGCCGGACGGAGATCATGGTTCCGCGGAATTGTTGCGCATGCGTTTGGGTTCATCATTGGCTCATTAGATGTTACTTCATTACGTGCGCTTTGCCTTGTTCACAACATCCCCAAATTCTTTGTTCTTCCTCCTTCACGAACCTACAGCGCCAGCCTGAGTGTTATTCAAGCTGACACCCACACAAGACACCCACCAATTGATATTTGACATTGAAGAACTGCATCAGTCGGTTGAGGTTTCGTTCGCGCGACGCTGAGCACTCGGACAGCTCGTATTCCCTCATAAGCTCCTGCGAGGTCGATACTAGAGCCCCTCTTCAGCCCAGGCCGCTTCGTTGCCTCGACTCACCGTCCATTTCAAACAGCTCTTTCAGCGTCGATGGAAACTTGTCTGCGACCGTTCCGTCCATCTTGTAGATCGGCTGCAGCGGTGCTGACTCGCCATCGCGAAGCATCGCATTTGCCCGCCGGTTCTCGCTGCATTAAATCAGGATAAAAAATGATGTCTGTCAGCCATGAAAACGCACGAATTGCGGAGATCCCTCTGGATCTCCTCCAACCATTCCTCTTGCCGCGCAACCTCGACTTGCAGCTCCTCGGGCATGTGCAGTTTCAACAGCTCTGCCACCTGGGCGGCCACCAACGCGTCTACTTGGCGTGCAATGTCTGCTTCAGCGCCGCTCTTCATGTGCTCGATGACTTCGGTGTTCAGCACCTTTCCTAGTATCACTACCAACGCCGTCAGCAAAAGAACGGAACCGGGACACCGCCGCAAGCACATTCGATCTCTTGGATGCCCTCGCGTTGTCGCTGGTCCTGCTCTTGCAGCTGCGCTCGCAGACTGAAAAAAAGTAAAAAGTGTCCAAGTCAACAGCAGTTGAACACTACTTTTCGATGTCCCTCGCTATCTGCGGCTCTCCACCGAACGCTGCCGCCTCGAGTGTTTGCGCATGCAGATCGCCCAAGGTTTCCTATCATCGTTCAAGCAAAACAGCACTTGGGCTTTCAAGGCAACCTACGTCTAACTCTACCAGCCTGTTCTTCATTTCCCGGATAAGCCCTTGCGCCGCCGGCACTCCCACCGGAGTCGCGAGACCATCCGAGCTGGCGCTACTCGCCAACGGCAGCGTCGTGTCGCTGTTCACGGTGCTTGGGGAAGGCGAAACCGACTCCATGGTCGTGGGCGTCTCCAACACGCTTTGGCAACGTGCCAATTATGCTTCTTCTGAGTGGTGTTAGAACTCGCATTAGGCAGAAGATAACAAACAATAAGTGGAGGCTACATTTGGTCTATATCGGGCTGGACTTTCCGGTTTGTACAAATCGTTCATGGCTTGGCCTCTGATTCAGGGTCGGGCTTTTCCTCCTCCTCAATAACCTCGTCTTTCATTACGCTATCGAGCGTTATCCGCTCACCCGCCGCCGCGTTCAATTGCGCAGCCATCAATGCCCGGAAACGCGAGTCTGCTCGCGACACAAGCTGGTAGTATGTTCCCGTCTCCACAATCCGGCCATCTGGTTTTTCATCAATTCAAGACGGAAAATTCTAGGGGACATGCCACACCTTCCAGTACCACTATCCGTTCAGCCCGCGCAATCGTCGACAGGCGGTGGGCAACGAATAAACACGTCGTGTTGCGATTCCGCAAAATTTTGTCAATCGCGTCGTTGACCTACGTTTATCAGATATTGGTCAAGATACGAGAAAGGGACATACCCGATGTTCTGATGTTGCGTCCAGACTGCTGGTAGCTTCGTCAAGAGCAAGCAACGCGGGCTTTTTCAGCAGAGCCCGGGCAATCGCTAGTCGTTGTCGCTGTCCACCAGAAAGGCTCAACCGGCCAACTGCAAACAAAAAATTATTCAACACATCTCCAAGGACGCATCTCCTTACTTGGCGTATCGAAGCCCTGTGGCATTCCCCACACAAACTCGCAGTTCGCGTCCCGGGCGGCCTGTTCAATCTGCTCCCGCGTCGCTTCCGTATTCCCATACGCGATGTTGGAAGCAATAGTTCCCGTGAAGAGGATCGGGTCCTGGGGCACAACGCCAATCACGCTCCGCCACGACTCGAGCGAAAATTCTCGAATATCTAACTACTGTGAGGATTGGCTGACGATCAGGCAATGAGCAAACCTTGTCCGTCAAACGTGATTTTGCCCTGAACCGGGTCGTAGTACCGCAGGAGCAGCGAGTGGATCGATGATTTGCCTCCGCCGCTCTTACCACTGAGAAACTTGTTAACAGGATATGGCCAGAACAGTCAAGGACTCACACAATGGCAACGCTTTCGCCAACCGCGACCTCGAGCTCAAAGTTCTTCAAAACCTCCACGCCCTTCCGGCTGGGGTACTCAAACTGAATGTTCTCGAACTTGAGCAAGCCGCGCCGGTCTGGAGAAATCGCCACGCCAGTGTCCGATCGGATAACGGGGTCTCGGTCTAACAGGTCGAAGATTCGTTGGCCAGAGCCAATGCCGCGCATGATGGAAGACTTTCGACGACAACGATCAGCATAAAACAGGGAGAAAAGAACAGCCTGGACATACAAAGAAGGTCCTTGAAGACAACCGTTAGTATTGCTCTGAGGAAGTAAGGGATTTACATACGACAACATGGAAAGACCTAGACAACGAGATCAGAGTCTTATAATCGTTTTAAAGCCATTCTACCATTCCCGACATATATGGTGTAAAGCAGCAAACTCGTTAAATCTCCAACGGATATTTCTCCTCGAGAAACCAGAGATCCACCTGAAACTAATTAGAGCCGCCAACGAGCAACACAGCTCTTACCATAACCCAATAGACAGAGGAAAGTGACATTCCCGCTCCAGCCAGTTCCCGCAAAGAACGCGGAGCTGGCTGTCGCCTCACGCTTTGCAAGCGAAAGGACATGCTCGATCCGGTCGTGAAACTTCAAACGTTCTTGCTCGTATGCGTTATACGCCTGGACTGTTCGCAGCGCGGAAAGCGATTCGGTGGCAACCTTGGTCATCTCGCCAACGGCTTCTTGCGTCTGGTTGGCGAGTTTCTTGAGGTATCTGCCGTATACGACCTTGAAATGCTTGTGAGAAACATAGCATGGTCGTAGAGCAAAGAAATCACTGACAGCGCCCAATGAGACAGGCGGAACGACCACCATCATAAGCATTGCTAAATTCAAGTCAGTATGGAGCAGATATGCGCGAGGTCTTATTGTACTCAGTTTCGGGGATAAGTAAAACATGGCGCCAACTTAAACAGATTCAAAATTAGTAAGACACACAGAGAGGGATGTACTTACGCCCAACGGAGGACATTACAACCGCTCGTAGTCCATCAGAGAGATTCTGGGTGACGCTGAAGTGGTGTTAGGTCGTTGTTGTTCTCGATTGCGGGTTACACACCTTTCTCCGACTATACTTGTGTCGACGCTGAGCCGGCTGAGCACATCACCCTCTCCCTTTTCCACAAATTCAACCTCCTGCTTCAAAGCGGCTGCATAAGTCCGTTCACGCAGCCGTGCGACGATTCGCTGACCAGCCATTCTCATGAGCCAAGCTCTCCCCCCATTAGCAGCAGCGCCAAGCGTAAACGCCACTAAGAGTATGGAGGATGTCTGCCAGATAGACAGGCCCAACGGAAATTGCTGTGGATAGTAAGCACAAGAGAACGACTGCTCGGAATAACACACACCGGGTTGGTGGAAGAGAAAAAGTCAATGAGCTTTCCGACAGTCATCGGCACGCTCATGAAGACGGAAGAGGAGACCACAAGGAGCCCGACAGCCATAAGCAGTGGCTTTTTCTCTGCGCGTCGTTAGACAAATTGATCAAACTTTTTTGCGCGCGCAATACCGGGTTTGGCAAGAGCAGCAATCTTGCGGAAAGACGACACGTTTCCTGACTTTGGGGAGAGGCGGGAGAGGATAGATTGGCGCGGTTTCGATTCGACAGGCGCTTCGCTGGAGTTTGTAGCGTATTTCCGGCTACGAATGGTGTCGAATAGAGGAAAATGGTGCCGGCTGAGACCAGCAGCAGCAGGCCGAGGTATTGACAATGCCCCAACCAGAAACTGGTGGCGGCAGCCAAGCACCCGACGCGTCGAGAGCCCAAGCATGGCCCCAGTCGATGCCGAGTCGGTGACGCGAGAAAGGAGCGAAGAGTGCACGTGCCAATCGGCATCGGCGACCTTCGGCAGTCGGAGCCGAGATTATAATCATTACATAAGATAACATGGCGATTGAGTGTATGTAGCCCAGATGCCTGCTATCTGGGGTTGAATGATGCTACAGATGCGTCTAGGATAATAGAGAGAAAGAGACCGTCGGAAACCCTTCCTAAGATACCCAAAAAATAATGCCACTTTTATCACTTCAACGCTCTCAAACCCTCAATGACCTCTTGAATGTCCTCGCGATTCCATTCTCCAGACCACTGTTCTTCTCTCCTCGACACGGGAGTGTTGTCCGTATAACCATACGGGTCAAACTCATCCCGCACTGAATCATCAAATGGCCGACTTGATGCTGTTGTTGTTGTCATTGCCCGCTTCCTGAAGCTGTTCCAGGTTGCATAACGAACAGACGTCGAAGAAGGATCTACATCTGCCGCAGGAGACAGAGTTGTTGGAGCGCTGCTGGAATGTCCATGGGTCCGCACTGGCGTGAGTTGGGCGGTAGGGCTATCGGGACTGATATACATGCGTGACTCGCGTCGACCGGCAGCAGTAAAGTAGACGTCTTCGGGGGGAGTTGGTCTGGGAGTGATGGGGCTGGCCATTGAGGAGCGACGGGAATGACTGGTTGTCGGTTCAGCAACAGGTGGTGTTATAAAGCCGGGTCTTGCGCCGGTTGGCGTCGTAGGAACGGTATTAGCATGCTGTGGCGCTGTTACATTGCCCAGGAACAAGCGCTGTGGCTCACTAGATGACCGAGCACGCTGCACACTGGTTGGAGAGACCCCGGTGATGCTGGGAGGTCTATTGACTTGACGTTTCAGTGCGTGATCTATCTCGGTCGCTGCTTGAAAACGCGGTGTAGCCGGAGAGGAGTCGGAAGAAGACATTCCGTCCTGAATTACCGGAGACAGCGGACTCGACATATCCTGTAGTTCCGCTGACTCTTTGCAATTGGATGTCGATGTCAGCCATTCTGCAGGCGACATAATCGGTGGCGGATCCCAAACTCCTCCAGAACGAACACTCGCGGTGTCGCTGCTGATAAATTCATCGCCCTCCTTGTCAGCAATGATGATTCGTTGCGGTCGGACTCTCATCGCCCATGAAAAATCGGCCGAAGTTCTTTGTGGTCGCCGGGTGGGTGAGTTGAGTGTTGCTTTCCGTTCGCGTGAGCAAAGTTATGAGCATTCTGGACACAGATACGCACAGCGTTCGGCATCCAAACCCATAGTCACAACTTCCAAGGGTGGTGGTCTGCGGAGTCCCTGGCCTTCGGTCTCCATATTGGAGAAAGTGCTAAGAGTCGGAGACAATAGTGGTTGTGAATCTTCCTCTTCTTCCAGTGGTCCATTTGTGTCGAATCCAGTGGTGGACCGTAAGTCTCCATCGGACGACAGAGAGTACAAAGACGGCGATGAAGGTGGGCTGACTCTATCGCGGTCACCTCGTCCGGCTCGGCGATTCGGCCGGAGAATGATATTGGTAAGTTTGCGAATGCTTGTAGTTCTCGAAGGCGAGACTGGACTGGCTAGCTCAGAGGCACGGCTAGACATCGTGAAATGAGTCGGTGGCCGTCCTCGTCAGCAGCCGTGAGCAAGCTTTAAGTTGTTGATAGATAGAATCAGGATCATGATACACCTTTGGTGGGAAGAGCAAGGAATAGAGTTTTGGGATGAACACGGAGTTACCATGATGTGTCGATCACCGAGCGGAACGCATTTTAATTTTGCTTACGTTCAGATGATAACAACATCGCGCCAAGCAGACACGAAGATTGCATGTATCGCGACTCTGAGTCATAGAGCAAACTTACCAAAATCTGCATCTTGATTTGAGTCGCCCTATGAAAGTTCACAGCATCACATCGAGTTATGTTCCTGCTTTGCGCCTGTGGTCAAATAGAACCGTTAAAAGTCTCTGTTTCCTTCCCACTTCCCGATACACTGCTGTAGGATCATGCGTTTGCAAACGGACTCAAACTGTATGCCCGAGAAGGCCGGAAGGAGAACGAACTGTCCGAAGGGCACTGGCAGTGACTGACAGGATAATGTGTTTTCTCCTAGCCAACCTATGTAACAGCCGGAGAGAATGCTCACCGACACTGCACCCAGGACGAGGTTTAAAGAGTTTCTCTAGTATATCGTTGAGCCAGCGTTCATCCTGCAAGAAAGAATGCCCACGCTGTGAGTGTCCCGAACAGACCTCAGGCTGGCGTAAACCCTGCCAACACCCGCCGCGTGAACATTGTCGGGAACATTAGCTCATTTTAGTGGCGGCCGGGGATAGATTGGACTTGTGGGCTGAACGTGGAGCATTTACAGTCTATCGGCGCTCGCCAACAGTGTTGATATTTCAAGTTCATGTCGGTTCTTTTTAGCTCCCAGTGGTCTTGGCGGCTTAAGGTAGATGGGTTGTTGTTGTTGCAAAGTAGCATCTTCGTCAAGAAAGCTACCGGGTATTGTGAACAAATGGCGCGAGCGGTCAGGAATGTTGATCGGGTTCATGTGGCTCTCCTCTGGACGAAGTCGGAATCCGTATGCATGACTGGCAAAGCGGGCAAGAGTTTGTTCTCCCTTCGGTAGATTCTTGTGAACCGGTGCCAGTGCATGGAGAAGGCTCAGACGAGTCAATTTCGCGCTTCGAAAAATGGAAGAGCTTAGAGCTGCATGTGCTGACATAAATACCCTGCCTCGTGATCACGTGCACACGGTCAACACGCCCCCCCTCATTCACCACCACGAACCGACCCTGACCATGTCTCGCCGCATCGCAGACATCAGCCTGAGGCATCTTCCCGAGCTCTCAGACGCGTCGTTCGAGATACCTACGTTTCCTGACGGGTCAGATTCGTTCTCATTCCAGCTACCCAGTTCCACCTCGAGGAACGACGGCGATGATGACCTTCTGCGTACGACCGCAGACTTCTCCTCAATTCTAGCGTCTCCCCCGCCAAAGGAGCCAACAATTGCCCACGGCTCGACTGCGAGGAGTAACGATACCAAGTCACTATTGCCGACGACAAAAGCCAATGCCACCGGTCTGGCATTCCTTCGCCCAGCACGTTACACCTCTCCGCCTCAGCGACTGGATGACGAGAATATCCATGTCACCTTAAGTGGTCGAGGAAAGAGCAACATGGAGTTAGACATCTCGGTGTGTATCTTTCCTATGCTGCTTCGCGGATCTGACCGCTCGCAGAAACCTATTCTTCCACCACCTTCGCCGCCGAAAGCGACTTCCAGAAAGGTGCGTAAACCACCAGCTTGGCGGAACTCTAACTTAAACCCAGGCTCAGTTGCAACGCCCAAGGACCAGCCTTATTCCCTCAATAAACAAGTTCAAATCTTCTAAACTTACTCCGCCGTCGAAACTTTCTGCTCCTGAAGAAGCTACCGATACCCTCGAAGCGCCGACGACGGATGTGGGTTTGACACAATTGGATGCATCCGAGCATGAGTTAGCCTATGAGGCGGTTGATGGGGAAGACGAAGAAAGTGAAGCCAAGTGAGTTTTTCTCGTTTGAGTTTGCATGAATTGACTAATTACCAGATCATCACCCTCCCCTACGACACCGGCGATTGGCGTTGTAGAAGACGCATCGCTCGAAGCTGAGGACGCCATTGTCGTTGATGCAATTCCCCAAACGCTTTCTTCGCCTGAATTATCTGAGGAAAACCACGACTCAGTTGCCTCTCGCGACGAACAACCCACCGAAAAGATGAATGGAAATAGGAGGGATGATGAATTAGAGCAAAGTGAAGGGGAAGGTTTGCAACGCGGTCACGTGAGGTTTGCGTTGGACGACTCTTCCGACTGCGAGGTTTTACCCAATGCTGTCACTGCCGAGGACCATCCCGAGACTCTGGACACGTGTTCCGATCCCAGCAGCAGTGACATGGTATCGGAGTCGTTTTCACCTATGAACGACCCGGAGGTGGATGGGCTGAGCGAGGCAGATACTCCCATGGAAAATCTTGATCAAGGTGCTGCTCCTCAAACGACGTCGGTGAGTCTCCGATTCGCTCTTGCTCTTTCAGTTGTCTGACCCAGTAATGTAGGGTAACAGCAATTCTGTGTCGACAAAAGCAAGGCCCCCACGACCCATGAAGAATAGTGTGGCGGCACGTGCTCGAGAAGCAGCAATAGCTTCTCGAGCCCATCCCGCAAAGCCTCAGCTTACGCATGCGCGGTCTGTGTCAGCGTCTGCCTCCAGCAGCAAACCTACTTCAAGAAATAACGCCCGTTCTGCTCGCGATCATCTTCGGAATGCGTCGGATTCATCAACTCGCAAACAAGCAACGTCCAAACAAAATCCCGTGCGAGCTCACGTGAAAACAACAAGTGATCCCCGACCACGCAAAATAGAGTCGAAGCCGGTTCCCCTCCCGCCTTTACCATCCACGATCGTGGTCGCGGCTGTCACGGCGCCTCTGGTTCCATCGGAGGCAGGAGGGTCCCAGACGACATCAAATGATTCAGCCATTTCTTCGTTTCCCCTTTCATTTCCCGAGGTGGACGGTACCTCTGGTGTGCAAACAACAACACCGATACGGGAACGCGACGGAAGACGTGATCCTCCACTTACACTGGAAGAGCTTTCTCCACGAAAACGTGTGCTGGATGTCCCAAATTTTCTGCAGGAGGATCATGACGATGAAGAAATGGAGATGGACAGTCAGCCACCTGCTGGTGTTATTCCTGAGGTCAAACTTACTGCTCGATCATCGTTGAAACGAACGCGTCCACCGTCTTCTCTATCAACCACAACGACAGATCTAGGGAAGGCACGAGGAGAGAAACGGAGTCGGGTTGTGCTTTCGAGACCCGCCAGGCTCGATGGAACTGGATCATTGAGGGGAACACGACCACGAGCTGTCGCATCTTCATCAAAAGGGAAACGAGTTGTTTCTGCGCCAGTTCGCGCGTTGGCTTCTTCCACTGCTCCAATTTCAGCGGCTGAAAGAGAACGACAACGCCAACGGACACGATCGGTGCTTGCTTCCGCTGCCCAGCGTGAGCGAGAACAAGCGGAGGAGAAGAGGGCCTCCACCTCCAGCCAATCACGCCCAAGGATGGCAAGTATTGGCTCCAAAAGTGTAAGTGACTGGCATTTTTCTGTTGATCTCGGTTTCTGATAATTTTTTCAGATTACCCATCACCCTCTTCCACAGGCGTCGACATCAAAACCGTACACGATCCCCGATTTTGCGGCTATACACGCGACGTTTGCCGCTCAATCCGCTCTTCGTCGGTCACAAGCGCAGCCACAACATACACATGGCCAGGCGCCAATGCTGAGCACGACGCTGAGGGCACAAGAACGAGCCGCATTTGATGCTGGTGTTCGCGCGCGAGAAGCGCAACGCGAGACTGAAAAGGAGAGTGAGAGGATTGAGCGGGAGGAGAGGGAGCTGGAGGAGGAAAGGGAGGCGAGGAAACGGGCAGTAGTCAAGGCCCATCAGGTGCCTGAATGGTACAAGGAGATGCCGAAGAAGGGAAAGGACAAAGAGGCGGAGAAATACTAAAACGGCGTACCGAACTTTGAAAGGAGATCAAGGACCCACTATAATGTACGATACTATGTATATTCCAGTCTTCTTGCTACTTTACTAATCCTTATAGCGTTTTCTGCGCAAGATTCAGATTTGAGTGTGGCCCAGACGGCAAGATTTTGTTACTATGTAGTCATAGCTCTGATTGGTCGAGAGAGGCCTTGAGTTTGGAGCTGCTCACGTGATGATTTTCTCTTTCATTCAGACCCTCACCCCGTCCAAATTTCTTGCTACCACTGGGAACGGGCACGCGAGACGTAAACAAAGCAGTCTTGTGGGCAAAAAGAAGCAAGACCAACATGCGCTACGCCTTGAGTTTGCTTGCTTTCGTCAATGCGAAAGGCGGTCCCCTCCAATTTCAACGACACATCGATTTTAGGGTCTACGCAGCGCGCGACATTGCGCATGGTGAAGAGTTGACGCTGTCCTATTTCAACGTCTGGGACACCACAGCAAACCGCTAGGAGACTGGCTTTGTCTGCGCATGTGACGCGTGTCTTGACCCCGACTCCGACTGTCGCCGCGCCAAAATCCGCTCGTTCGTTCCGTCTGTCCAGATGTGGGCCGTCAACCGGTCGCTACCCGACGACTAGCTCATCAACAAGGGTCTCGAACAAATGGCGCTCATCGAACAAGAGAAGCTCGAGGGCGAGTCGCATTACCATGCCGCGATTAACGCCATCATGGAGGCGTACGCAAATGTCTGTGGGCGGCAACTCTTCAGAGTCTGGATGTGATGATTGCCCTCAAGTCGCATAACCGTCACCCGTTGTGGCGCAAGCACGTTGACTGGAACTCAGAGCTCAAGCGGCTCATGGACAATCAGTAGGTTTTCTTACTGGTAAGAAAAAATTGATAATTTGTACAACGCTGAAATGGTACTAGTAGTGACAAGCAGTCAAGTACGACCGGTGTAGGCGTGCTTCGTGGCGAGCTCCTTCGAGCCCTTCCGGTAGGAAATGGTGATGTGGTCTGGCTCGGTATCGACTGAGCCCCCAGTATGTGCCCCGCGACTGTACGGTGGGGTTAGTAGCTTTGGACAAGCGATGTAGAAAAACTGCTCGCCGAATGCGGGCCTTGTCTGCACTCGAGATAGTGGGGTCTGTCTTGTTTGCTTGCCAGTGCTCCTGGACCTTGGTCTCGTGGAAAGTGGCAGGGTCGACACCACCGTAGTCTGCCGCGGTCTCGCCAGCGATGTCGTCCTTCGCGGCTTGCGACCATACGATTGGGATATTGCCAGAGGACATTGGTGCGGAGTGGTTAATGCGTGAGCTTGATCATGGTGTGTACTTTATAGCATTGAGATGGTCTAGTGGGAACAATTACCATGACGTTCAGCATTTTGAGTTCTGAATGATACTTGCAAATGGAAGAGGAAGAACTGTAGACCGGAGGTGGACTATATCCTATCATTGACCGGCTCCGGAATTTAATGATAGGAAATAGTCCACCTCCGGAGTGGGCCATACTATTCTGAGTAGTGTTCTCTTGAAAACAATTGAGCTTCGAGTGCCATGAATTGCGCATGGTTCAAGTAAGAGTCATCCGGCACTAATACGGCCCGGGCGCTTATTTTGCTCGCTGCTTTGCTTTCTCCGCTCAGCCTCCATTCTACCCGCCATTTTTGCCCTGCGACGAAATTTCTCATGCACAGCCAGACTTCGAATGGCCTCCACCCACTATAACCCACAGCTCGGTGCAACGCTGAAAAATGAACGCTACACAGTGTTAAGGAAGTTGGGGGAGGGAATCACGGCGGTCAGTTGGCTGGTGCGCGACTCCACCGCAACTGGGAGGTGTGTGGCTGTCGTCTTCATCAGCTTGTTCACTATTCAAGCATCTTTATCAGCACCAACAAGTACTTTGCCGCCAAAATTCTCAGTGCTGAAGCTACTGCTGAGCCCAACGGGCCAGCACGCGAACGCGAGTTCCTGCAATCCATAACCGACTATGCTGACAAAGTGGACGATGACGAGGGACTTGACTATTTGCCTGCACTCTACGACAGCTTCAACGAAGGACCCCACCTCTGCCTCGTTTTGTCGCTCTACAGCACTTCTGTCTCTGCCCTGCGACGATCCTCCCCCCACCAAATCTCTCCCTGTCTATATGGTTCGGAGTATCATCCACATGACCCTCCAGGCCCTTCGTGTGCTGCATGACCTCAAGATCGTCCACACCGATGTCAAACTTGACAATATCCTCTTCACCAACGAGCGCTTCTCGCTTGACGCCAACCTCGACAAGTATCTCCAGCAATACCCTGCGCAACTCAGCAGTCCTGAGCCACAGCCTATTCCTCACAGTTGGACACACGACACGTCTGCATTTGAAGCTGAGAAGATGACCGTCTCGCTCATCGATTACGGCCACGGTGCGCTTGCACTTGAATGCTATATCCGTCTGATGCCAGATTCCCAGCCGAATGGTCAGAAGGCACGCCTTTTGGTCAGGGTTTCTGCCCACTCTCTCTCCGCCCGCCAGAAGTTTTGCTTTCGTCTGGGTTTGGAACCGCGATTGATATATGGTCTGTTGGATGTCTGGTAGGATACTTCTCGAGACACTTGCTTGTCTAATATTTTATCAGACATTCGAGCTCCTGGTTGGGCGGTGGCTCTTCCATCCAGAAGATGGCGAAGACGATTGGACAATAGAAGAAGACCATCTCGCCAAGATGCAAGAGCTGACTGGCCAGCGCTTCTCCGCTGACGTCCTTGCGCGGGCCAAAAAAGGAGCAGAGTACTTCGATTCGCAAGGCAAATTCATCCGTCTTTATCTAACATCAAGTGCTGACATTACTCGATAGGCAGCCTCGTCCGTATTCCGGAGCTGATACCGGTGTCGATTGAGCAGGCGATGCAGAACTACAACATTCCGGGTTTGGCGGAGGAGGATATCAAGGAGAGCGCGGACTTCATCCGCGCGTGTTTGCAGTTGGACCATACGAAGAGACCGACTGCGGGGGGAACTTCTGAAGCACAGTTTTGCTATGAAGGCGTGGAATAGTTGAAATGTTGACCTGTGGACCGATGGTGTTGATTATCTAAGGTGATCATGAAATATCTTGCTTTTACTCCTTCATTGGCCCTCACGGCTTCATTTCTCCGAAGGCATCGAGCTAAACTTGAATATTTTCTTAAAAGCAATGCCCCACAGTGAATTTCTATATTGGTTCAGCATCATCAGCTAGATTCACAGCGAGGCTGAGTAAACAAGCTGCACAAGTCACTCGGGTTGCCAACGGGTTGGCGGGAGCACTTTTCTTGACATCAAAGGCCTTTGACAGATATTGATGATATACCGCTAACTTGGTTCTAACTACTCGGACGCGGATGTGAAGGGCAACTCCGAGTCCAAGAACGAGATTATCAATAGTTGGAGCAGTAATTGGGACGACTTAGAGATTGATAAGAATAGACGGCTTTGACGGCCAAACAGTGAACATTGGAAGACAGAAGATGTCAGAATCGGGAAAGATCAACCATACATCAAACGTGTTACGGCATCTGTACTTGAATCTTATAAAGTCTGCCGGCGACTTTCTCATTACTTATTCCCCCCTCTCCTTCCTTCCCTTCTTTCTTTGTGCTGCCGTTTGCGGTCCTTTCCTCTGCCAGACAGAGTCCCCACGATCTTTTTTTGCGCCCACCGTATAGAACCCTCAATCTTTAGAAAAGATGCTGACGACCTCTCTTTTCACACTCATCGCCGCTGGTGTGTCTCTTGCTGCCCCCATCCGTCGGGATGTTGCCCTCGATGCCGCCGCTACGGCCGAGGCCCAACAACGCGACAATGGCGCGACCCGTGCTTTCACTGCGACAACAATCACCACCTCCGATGGTCGTTGCCTTTCCGTCAACCCCTTCTCTGGCGATTTCCGCTCCAATCTCACCCCTGTCACCGCGGTGGCTTGCAATGGCTCGAAGAACCAGACCTGGGATGTCATCACCAAGGGCAAACACAACAACGTCGCCGGCCAGGCCCTTATTGTCAGCAGCCTTACCAATGCTTGCCTCAACTTCGATGCCCGCAGAGCTGCCGGAAACCAAGTCCTCCTCTTCAGGTGAGTTTTCGTGACTTAATATCAAGAAGTTCAATGATATTGACGCGTTCGACTAGCTGCGGTGGACGTGCCGATGGAGGAGGAGAGGTCACTAACTCCCAACTCTTCGCTTTCAACGGCGGTGCTGGTCCCCTGGCCCTCGTACCCCAAAACGGAAACAACAAGGTCTGCTTGACCGTCAAGGGAAACAACGTCGACCAAACTGCCTGCAACGGTGCTGGATCCGCTTCCGGTCTCGAGGTTGGTCTTTTGTCACGTGATATTCTCTTGACTTAATACTTGGACAAGCTTTTCACTTTCGGTGGCAAGCCTGCTGGCAATGGCAACAACGCTGGTAATGGCAACAACGCTGGTAATGCGGACAACGCCAACACCGGGAAAGCGACCAACACCGTCACTACTCCCAACGTCCAACCCACCAAAGGCACTCAAACCACCACTGGTCCCATCAAGGTTTCCGGTGCCAAGGGTGCGTCATATTCATTGGATCTTCCCATCCCATCCACTCAACTTGCGTTTCTGTTTTCAGGTATTCTTGAGCCTTCTGCTGTCGCTCAAAGCCAGGCCCGTGACGATACCGCCAAGCGCGCTGCTACTGGTGTCCAGATTAAAGACTCTACCGGGAAGTGTCTGAGCGTCGACATCACCAAAGGCGACTTCCGCGAGAACCTGATCCCTATCGACATGGCCGACTGTGATGGCTCTGAGGGCCAGAAGTGGGACTTCATCACCTCCGGAAAGCACAACAACAACAAGGACAGCACCCTGATCGTCTCCTCCCTCATGAACGGATGCCTTAACTTCGATGACCGTCGCGCTGCTGGTGACCAAGTCATCATGTTCTCTTGCGGTGGCCGTGCCGATGGTGAAGGTCAGACAACCGACAGCCAACTGTTCCCCTTCACCGCCAACACCGACCTCACCAAGCCCTATGTTCTCTCCCCCAAGAACTCGAGGAACGGCCGCTGCCTCGTCAACGGTGGAAAGGGACGTCTTGACAATGCTGCTTGCGATGCCACTAAGCCCGCTGCCAACCAACAATTCACCATTGTCGGTGCAGGTGCAGGTGCAGGTGCTGCCACCACCAAGGCTGCTCAGACGACTAAAGCTCCGGAGAACACCAAGGCTGCTACTACCACTCCCCCTCCGGCGCAAACCACTAAGGGTACACAAACCACCACTGGTCCTATCAAGGTTTCTGGTGCTAAGGGTTCGTGTCTCATAATGTTGTTTAAACAAACTCACACTGACCCTCCATAGGCATCCTCGAGCCCTCTGCTGTTGCTCAAAGCCAAGCCCGTGACGATACCGCTAAGCGTGCTGCTACCCGAGTCCAAATCAAAAACTCTGCTGGCAAATGTCTGGGTGTCGACATCACCAAGGGCGATTTCCGCGAGAACCTGATTCCCATCGACATCGCTGACTGCGATGGCTCTGAGGGCCAGAAATGGGACTTCATCACTGCCGGAAAGCACAACAACAACAAGGACAGCACCCTGATCGTCTCCTCCCTCATGAACGGGTGCCTCAACTTCGACGACCGTCGCGCCGCTGGTGACCAAGTCATCATGTTCTCGTGTGGTGGTCGTGCCGATGGTGAAGGCCAAACCACCGACAGCCAGCTGTTCCCCTTCACCGCCAACACTGATCTCACAAAGCCTTACGTTCTCTCTCCCAAGAACTCTAAGAATGGCCGCTGCCTCGTCGATGGTGGCAAAGGCAGGCTCGACAACGAGGCTTGCAACGCCGCCAAGCCCTCTGCTGCTGAGGTTTGTTTTCAGTTTCTGTTCGCGTCATTTGGTCTGACCGTGGCAATTCTAGCAATACACCATCGTTGCATGATTTGGCCCAGGATAGGCTTAATTTTCTCTTTTTTTTTGGGTGTAAATAGTTACTTACGACTGGGAATGGCGCCTGCGCTGAAATCGATTCAAAAAGAAAGAAAAGAAACTTCCAGTGCGATGATTTGCCCAACCTGAGCCAGAAGTCGCAGATTCTGAGTAACAGAGAAGCAGAGTTGGTGTGTGTAAGTATGGACGAGTACATACTTCCGAGTTTTAACCTCGGCATCATTCAATCGGAAGACACGTGAAAGTGGGAGCCGGACCGAAAGCTGTGTCGCCTATTTTGGAAGTGTGCCTGCGACGAAGCTTCTTTTTTCTCTTTTTCTTCTGTACCATACCGCACCCGTTTTTTCGACCTGGCTCTCATTCCATGCTGTAGCCTCGAGACCACTCCTACCCCTTCATTCCATGTATCACAACAACTCTATCCGCATCCTTACTGGTGGGTCGGCCTTGTGGGGCCCCTGACATTGTGTGGGCTTGAGACTGACTCCAACAACAGGGAACAGTCACCCCGAGCTCGCCCAGGCTGTGGCCGAGCGGTGAGATAGCGCTTTCATCGTCTTTTCTCCTCAGTCGATGGACCTAGCGTTTAAGGCTTAATGTCCCCCTCGTTCCCTGCACGGTCAAAAAGTTCTCCAATGGCGAGATCAACGTCAAAATCTCCGAATCAGTCCGCGACGAGGATGTGTTCATTCTCCAGTCTGGCTGCGGCGACGCCAACGACAACCTGATGGAGCTCCTTATTCTCATTTCCGCCTGCAAGACTGCTTCAGCCCGACGAATCACGGCGGTCATTCCATCTTTCCCATACGCTCGTATGGACAAGAAGGACCAAAGCCGTGCGCCAATCACTGCGAAGCTTGTCGCCAACATGCTCGTCGTTGCCGGCTGCGACCATGTCATCACAATGGACCTCCACGCCAGTCAGATCCAAGGCTTCTTCGACATTCCCGTGGACAATCTTTGGTCTGAGCCACTCATGCTGACTTATATCAAGCGTCGCATTGCTGGCTGGAAGAACAGCATCATTGTCAGTCCCGATGCAGGCGGAGCCAAACGGTATGTGGCTTTATAAACGTGCCATCGTAAAAATGAACACTCCCTTTCACAGAGTGACAGCAATCGCCGACAAGCTGAACGTCGAGTTCGCACTCATTCACCGGAAGCGCGACACGAAGCACCATAACGAGCCGGAACGAATGGAATTGCTGGTCGGTGACGTGAAAGACAAGGCACGGCGTTCATTTCAGCTCCATGCATCCTTTAATTTGCCTTTGCAGGTGGCGATTCTCGTGGACGACATGATTGACACTGGCCAGACGCTGGCGATGGCCGCGAAAGCGCTCCAAGAAAAGGGTGCCAAGGCAATCCATGTCCTCATTTCGCATGGTGCGTCCCTGCTTTCCGTGTATGAAATTCTAGAATTAACGTTACTGCAGGGTTGCTCTCTGAGGCGAGTTTGGCTCTGGTTGAGCAACTCCCCATCGCCGAGCTTGTGGTACGTCTATTCTTTTTTTTTTGTTCGAGCAGTCGAGCTGATGATATTTGCAGGTAACCAACACAATCCCACAAACCAATAACCGTGCATTGTGCTCGAAGCTGATGACGATAGACGTGAGCCCGACGATTGCGGAGAGTATTCGGCGGACCCACAATGGAGAGAGCATCAGTTTGCTGTTTAATGAGCGGCAGGAGACTGGCTCTTTTTCGGTGATTTAGAGTAGACATGGACCTTGATACCTAGACTGAAAGCACAAAAATGTACGAGGAAAATCTAGCAATTCAACAAGCATATCATCCGGTTCAGATTGAAAGCTATTTCCGCGAAGTGTTTCTGTTTCAGAGGTTGGTTGTGCATTATTTTATCACGGTGGTACACGAATTGTGATGTTCTCGACGACATACTCTGAATCGGCATATCCAAGCAGCTGCGGCATATAAGAACTGTTTAAGCCTTTCACCTTCATGATCTGGGCTGAATTGTAGTTCGCCAGACCACGGCCGACCTCTATTACATCCGCGTCGGTATACTCTTCGCTTTTTGCGACCATAACTACATCTGCAAGACTTGCTGAAGAGACTGAGCGCGACAGCGGCTCAAGTGACGCGACGGAAGAGGTCATAGAAGATGCGGCTAGAATAGAAGGCGAGGCTGGCCGCGTTTCGCCAGCGAGGGTAGAAGGGATACGGGCGGCAACAGATCCTGGACTTGTGTTTTTGCGGATGACGATTCGCACTGCTTGGCCGGAGGCAAACGCGCCGATGACGCCAAAGACACCGACTGCGAGTAATCTGCCACCGGATTCGCGGCGGGAAAGGACGTTATGGGCGCCGGAATCGATGATAACGCTTCCTGCGGGGAATAAAGTGTGGCTTGTCCACGCTTTCAAGTCTCGCATTGGCAAGAGAGAGGCGGTAAACACGGTGTGAGGCGGTCGGATGTGGACAATTTCTGGCTCGTCTGCAGGCTCAAGTGTTGGACTTGTCCTTCCGGATCCGGGTAGTGAGTCGGATGCAGGGGTACCAGGGTTCGAGGAGGACGCCTTTTGTGCATGATGGTATTCGATAATGGGCAGGATGCTCTCTGGTCTTTTGCTTGAGCAAATAATGGTCGTGACGCCAGCGCCAGTCGCGATTTCTGCTGCAATAAGTTTCGTTTCCATTCCACCAGTTCCGAGACTCGATCCAAGGGTACTTGTGCTCACTGTACGTGAGATTAGCCCGATAAATCATTGGAGAGTGTCTGACCTTGAGAACGAATAGCGGCGATTGAGGTGACAACCTCTATATGTTGGGCATGCGGGTCTTTTCGAGGGTTCGATGTGTACAATCCGTCAACATCCGTCAAGAGAAACAGGTAATCCGCATGTAGCATCGAAGAAGTAACCGCAGAAAGAGTGTCGTTGTCGCCAAATTTTATTTCCTGAATCTCTTAGTCTAGACGAGGCGAACTCTGAATCTCCTTACGCTAACGGACACGGTGTCGTTTTCGTTGACGATTGGGACAACCCCCATTGACAGCAGCTCTTTGAAGGTGTTTACAGCATTTAGATAGCGCGTGCGCTGGAAACAAGTGAGCTTTGGAGACAGAATAGGGGGAAGCCGAGCACATCTGCAATATCTCCTCTTGTGAGCAACACCTGAGCGATTGGCTGGTCGAACTGGCTGAAGAGGTTGTCCCAGAGACCGATAAGTCTACCCTGACCAACGGCAGCCAATGCCTGTAACAAAACGTGTTAGACACGTTGTTCATCGTCGACAGACAACTCGCACCTGTTTGCCCGCTAAACTCTTCGGTCTGCTCGCCAGATTCATGCGCTTTAGACCAACGGCAATAGCGCCGGAGCTGACGAGTACGACTTTATGTCCATGCGCTCTAAGTAGAACCACTGTCTCCACGAGGCTGGAAAGCAGCGACAAGAGCGTTTGATGCGTCTTCTCATGAACGATGGAGGAAGAGCCTGCATAGCACCGTCAATCCTAGCTCCCGCGACTCCAGTAAGCCTAACCTAACCTAGCTTAATGACGATGGTGCATGGATGTCGGGCGCGTGCCATGGTGAACCGAGTCAAGATGCAAATATTTCGGAGTGAGACTCGCCGAGTTTGTTCGCCGTTGATCCCTTACTCGACACTGTGCCGAATAGTCTCCCCCAGGTTTTTGGACTCAATGCTGGATCGTACAAAAATTGGTTGTACGCGTTGTGCTTCGTATGACGCGCCTCCGAATCCATATCACATTGTCGAATGATCGCAACCGCAACTTGACCTCTAACCATGAGGGTCCTCCCACTCTTTCTCCCCGTTCTCTCCCTTTCGCTCTCTTCAGCGTCTCCAACTGGAGAGCAGGTCGTTCTGGGCCTCGACCGCGCCCGTTTATCGTCCCATAACGCAGCCAGCACAGTCAACACACTGCTCAACGACGCTACCAAGGCCATTCTCCGCGGCAAGAAGAACTTACAGAAGTGGATTCACGATGGCAGAGAGTATATCAAGCAGAACGAGCTCTTATGTGCGTAGTCCTCTCCTTATCTCCACGAGACGGAACTTAAATTCGCCTTTCCAGACGAGCTTGTTTCGCACCCTGTGTTCGAGGAGCACCAATTGAGGGTCACGAAGCCAACCGCCCTTTGCGACCCCAGCGTGAACCAAATCTCCGGCTACCTTGATATCGCTGAAGACAAGCATTTGTTCTTCTGGTTCTTCGAGTCACGTAACTCTCCCTCTACGGATCCTCTCGTTCTCTGGCTCAATGGCGGACCCGGCTGCTCCAGCTCAACTGGCTTGTTATTCGAGTTAGGGCCATGCTCTATTGCTGACGACGGCAAGAACACGACTTTCAACCCTCACAGCTGGAATTCCAATGCCAACATGATTGTGAGTTCTAAATGCAGCCTCTTCTGGTTATTTGACAACGCGTTCAGTTCCTCGACCAACCTGTTAACGTCGGATTCTCGTATGCTGAGGACGGCACGACTGTCAACAACAGCCCTCTTGCTGGGAAAGATGTCTACGCATTCCTTGAGCTATTCCTCCAGCGATTCCCCGAGTACTCCAAGCAACCCTTCCATATCAGTGGCGAGAGCTATGCAGGAACTTACGCAAGTTTTTCGTCTTTCTCTCAAATACTCTATTAATGTGTATTCCAGATTCCCAATATTGCCAGCGTTATCTGGCAAGCCAACCTCCAACTTGCAGCAGCCCCGAACCCAAGTCTCAAGAAGATCAACCTCGAGTCGCTGCTAATCGGCAATGGACAAACCGATCCTTATACTCAGATGGGCACCGTGGCTGAGTATGCCTGTTCCGGGCCTTTCCCCGTCTATGATGACCCCGAAGGACCCCAGTGCACAGCTCTACGAAGCAAAGTTCCAACTTGCCAACGGATGCTTCAGTCGTGCTACAAGTACAACAACAAATTTACTTGTGTTCCTGCGATGCTTTACTGCAACTCCCAGTTGTATGGCCCGATCATGCAAACGGGCGTCAACGTCTATGACGTGCGCAAGAAATGCGACCGCTCCAAGGACGGCGACCTCTGTTACCGGGAGCTCAACTGGATTGAATCATGGATGAACGAGCCAGCCAACAAAGTCGCGCTTGGCGTCGACCCGAGCCGCAACTTTGCCTCTTGCAACATGGAAATCAACCAAGCCTTCCTGTTCCAGGGCGATGGCGGACACAACAGCGCGGAGCTCCTGACGGACCTCGTCAACGGTGGCGTCAGGCTGCTTATATATGCGGGCAACGCGGACATGATGTGCAACTACCTCGGAAACGAGCGCTGGCTGGAGGTGTTCGACTCGAAGTTCCAGAGCGAGTACAAGGCGGCGAAGCCTATACCATGGATAACCCACTCTACGGGCCAGCTTGCGGGCTCGGTCCGGTCGGCCGGCGGCAAGGGGATCACCGCCGGAAACGTCACTTTCGTCACTGTGTTCGATGCAGGGTATGTCTTGACTCTAACTTCGAGTCTAAACCTAACCATTCCCCAGACATATGGTTCCGTTTGACCAGCCCGAGGCTGCGCTTGACCTCTTCAGCCGCTGGATCTCCAATTCCCCCTTGTCATAGAGTAACTCACACATAGCATATGATATCTTATTGCAATATCTTGTAGTGACATCTGTGTGTGTCTGAACTGAATCTTGAGTGGCAGCAGCTTTGGGCAACACTCGGCCGGCCACCGCGCATGGCTACCGACGATGTCGGGAACTTAATGCGTGATTTCCCTTCTGGAGGATATTTCACTTCGGCTGATGCAATTTAAGAGTACTACATTCTCGTCAAATATCCTTCACCATCGTGACAAAACTGTAAAGTAGTTAGCATGAATAACGAGACACGATTGCCTGAAAACTCACTTTCGAGAAAACAGCATCCAGACACAGCTCTAACTCCGACGCCTGCTTGTGCGCCTCGCGTTCCCGCGTCAACGTCGTCGCCCAACAAGAAGGTGATACAGGAACAACTGCAGGTCAATCAGATAGTAGAACTCGCATCATCAAGGCGTCAACTTACGCGTTGTGGTCTTTCTCGACTCGCAGGCGCAGACACTTCGTCCGCAAATAGGTCTGAATCAAGGTAAACAAGTGCAGCATTAAGACAGACACGGAAAACTTACCTTGGACAATGGTGCCGACTATTCCGCGCCAAAACGCGCAAACTCAATAGTCGATTGAAATCCACAACTGGAAAGTGGTTGGGATTGAATAACCAGACATGGCCCGAAAACTCACCTTCGAGACATTGACGCCTGCGTCTCAACCACAGGCAACTCGTTCCCATCGCTGGCGTGTCGAAAATCAAACTAGCAAACAGTCAGCATTCGCAACAAGTAGTGACAGGCTCCAGACTCACATCGCTGTTCGCTGCTGTCAAGTCCTCTCGTCCGTGGTTTACAGCAAGCGAGCTTAATGGTGAATAGGTCTGAAACGAAGTTAATAAGTGTAATAGCAAGACAGGAACCAAAAAACTTACCTGGTATCGCGGCGCCAACCATTTCAGAACCCGTTCCCAAACAATCCCAATATTGTCTTGCGCGTTGAGCAGTAGCTCGCGCCCCTTATCTGTCAAGTTCTTTAGATTGCAGACTCAGATAGCGAATAACTCACTCACTCCTGTGATGTGATGCGGCCTGACGGCGGATCTTTCGCGTGCTCCTCGCCGCGTTTTCAATCGATGTTGGTGTTGGCGGCGCAACTCTGAGCTTGATGCGCTTGCTCGCGTTCGCAACCAACGGAGGCCGCCAGAGGAAGAGAGTCGTGTCCGGGAGCTCGTGAAGTTCAAGTCCGTGGCAGAAAAATGCAAATTGGGCATGTAGGTAACGGATTTTGAGCCAGAGGTGGGACGAAGTCAGGGCGGAAGACCGAATTGGCATCCCAGAAGGCTGCCAAAACCTGTCGTTGTTTGCGTGTGGGGGCGTGTGGGGCAGGGGTGTGTCGATTGGGTGGAAATGACAAGAGCTGGGACTTGTTAGAGAAGTTTGGGCATACAATCAACAAGACACGCACCTTTTTGTCAAGCTCTCCCACCTGAACGACTCCAACAACCACCCTTCGCTTGGTCTCGTCGCGGGTGTTGACCCCCGGTCGCCAGGTATTCTAGCGTTGACGGTTCAATAGGCTTGTTGGCAGCGTAAACGAACAACACACCTTATAAACGCCCACTCCCTGGAACATGGTCATGGCTGAGCCTTACGCGGGCATCGAACTTGAGGTTGGTGAAGGATGTAGGCCGAGCTGAAACATGGTAAGTAAGCGTTGAAATGGGGCCAGAAGACTGACTGTGGCTGGTCGTGGTCAACAGACAAGTCACGATTCGTGTGACGGCACGCGATAATCTTGACTTCAGCCTTGTCGGCACTCTCAATCTCCCGCCTCAAGGCTGCATCCGGCAAACGAACAAGCACTCGGGCGCTCTCTCTCAAGGCTCGGGCGCTCTCGGGCCTTGTCTCACACAGTCTACGGCTACAACGACATCAAGACCATTTCACCCAAAGACGACTTCAAACAGGTGAGTTATAGGCAGAGCTCAGCAGACCAATCCACTCACTTATCCCCTGTTCCAACAGCCCTTTTCAATCTCATCCAGTCCCGGCAACGGCTGCTAAGGCAGCTCCCGGAACCATTCGGCGGCACTAAGCGCGCTACAACAAGAGGCTCAAAGCAGGCGAGTCAAGCAGGTCAATACGCTACTCCGAGTCGGCCCGCAACTGCAGAGTCACATGCAAGTGGGAGCAGAAAAGAAACGCCGACAACCAACCAACTCCAACCACTGTCTGCGCGGCGTTGACTCTGACGACGACGACGGCCTTCTTGAACATGAGCGCAAGAATGCAGTACGACCCACAACTCACCTGAGAACAACTTCACCCGCTCTTTGCGAAACCCAATGACCACCTCAACCGTTATCACCGCCAACAACGACGAGCACCACATCTGTTGTCGGGGATGAGAAGAATACGCCAACTCCCAAACGACTACCCCGCCACAATCCATTGTGTGGAGGACTTGCGAGCAAGGTCAGTCCAGCTGTCAATGTGGATAACGACCACTCACCAGTCGTGAAGGTTGCGGACAACGACGTCAACATCCTTGCCAACAATGATGGCACTGTCGATTCTGCATCCCCCGCCATTGTATCCAACGTTCACGAACACCACCACTATAATCAAGTTAGCGCGAGAAATATCGGCGAATAACGGCAAGACATACTGCCAAAGTCAAGGCCTTCAGTCAGACACAGCGACGAGCTCGTTAGGGCTGACAACGACCTCAATCGAAATGGCCCCGATCTTGACAATGACGACGGACGCGTTGGGAACGGGCGAGTGGTGGCTCGATGGTGGAGACGATGAAGAATGGCGGTTGACCTTGCTACTTCCAACCGATGGCCTTGCAACGACCACGTTTCGGCAAGTACGCAAACTGGAGAATTCAGCACAGAGATAGCAACGGCAACATCGGCACTCACCTATAACTGCTCGCGATACACACTGCCGACCTCGAAACATGCTGTCGGCTTCTAAATCCCGAGCGGGGCAGAACCCTTCTCCCCCCATGGCAACTCGGCGCAAACTGGACAAGTCAGCGCGGAGACAGCGACGGCAATGCCAACACTCACCAGTAACTCGGCACACAAGAGGCTTCAGACTTGAAAGTTTCTGGATTCTAAGCGCGTAACTGATCAGCAAGACGAGGAGAGGATGCAAGCCGGAGCGGAAACTCACCTGCCGACAAGCACAAAGATTGCCTCCGTCCACGACGACCAAGACGGCTCAAGGCCATAGACGACAACGACGGCGACCCTATGGTCGATTCAAGCTACCACGTTTCCAACATCGGCGACGAGCGGGTGAAGTACGCAGAGAAGTGGGAGAGAGGAAGGGGGAATGATGAAAGAGGCGATTGGGGGCTGGGCTTTATACCCAGTACCCGTCGGCGCTCGGCGAAAGCGGCTTACGATATGTTAGGGGATCGCTCGCCGGAAAGACGCACTGCTGACAGGTGTGCCTAGCGATCTCGCCATTGCCGTTAAAGCGTGGATTTGGTTTGGAGAGCATTGCAGTCGAAGTGGGCAGACAGCATGTATATAAATAGTTGAATATGATGTTATTGCATGTTCAGACATGTTTTAGCATCAGGTTCCACGCTCTCAGAGGCTAAAGTATAAGAAAGTAGATTTAGAGGTTAGAAGAAAAATACGACATACCAAGACGACGGAGCGCCCAAGTTGCAAGCGAATGACACAAGGGATGATGGTGCCGTCACTCCTGGGCGTTTCATGGCGGAATCCCGCGAGTTCCGCCACTGAGAACGGGGGAATTCTGCAGGATGAATGAAATTAAAGTGGACTAGACCGCTCTGTGGAAGATCGGAGGACGCTAGCTCGCTGGTATATGCCACCACGTGCGCTGATTGAAATCTGAAAGCAATCGGACAGCTCCCTGGCACAGAACCCCAGGAATTAGACCGACAACATACCTGCAGAATATCATATATTTGCGGCTCTCCTTGGGCGGGGGGGAAGGGTGGTTTCGCCGGAGCGATTACGTAAGCACGTGATCCTCAAATTTCAGCCAAATCGGAGCACCTTTAGCTATAGAACGCGGGCCACATCTAAAATTTCCATTTTTGGTCGCCAGCGGTAGCGTGCGATAAGGTCACGTGACCGCTCGGCGGAGCCCATTTTTGAGACTTGCACTTGTTTTTTTTTTCTTTTTTTAGTGTAAGACAAGTATAATTGTCTTATGGCATGGAACATAATAAGAAAAAGAATTTGTGTCATAAGACTTAGAATTAGAAGTCTTGTGGAAAATTTTAAATAGATTCTTGGACTTACGTAAATCTAAGATGTCATTAATGTCAGGATCACGTGATTACCGGCTTGGAGACTTAAGCAGTCCTTAAACTGTTTCTAGAAAATTACTTCATGCTATATTGCTACATTCCCTGCTTGTGAGCTGGTTCTGTTTTCTATTTCTCTACCTACTTAAAGTGTTTTGGGTGTCTATATAAGGAGTGGAGACTTGCAATAGTTTCACTAATTTTTATTTACATTTATATATATATATAAAATACTATTATATATATTCTGTGATATCCAACAGAATGTCTGTGTGGACAAAGTGTTAAGAAACATATGTACATACTTAGTATATTACTTCACATTCATAAGAAAAGTTACACCTTTTGGATTTCTAAGCACTTTTTGAATAAATACATGATTTTGGAAGCACTGATATATACGGTGTTCAAATTGTTCCTCTATATGAAAGCCTCTGCAGTTTCTCAGCTATCAGAGATGATACCTTAAGAAATAGTCCACTAGGAGATGTATGAGAGCAGGTATACTAGGAATTCAGAAACGTGAGAACTGACATTAGCATAGCCACCAATGTCAGATCAAGAACAATTTGACAGAATGTGTCAAAGCTTGTGTGGGGCACAGAGCACCAATGCCTGGGAGTATAGCCATAAAACTTTTAGGATATGTTACACCATGGTCTGGGAGCTGTATGACCAAGCAACAAAAGTAAACATCAAGGAACTGGCAAGATATTCAAAATATATTTTTCAAAACATTTCTACAGGCATTCTCAATGAGGACAAGCAGCCTATCCAAGAAAATGGAATGAGAGAAAGTGGTGCATATACTCTATCATCTGACAGTTGCCTGATAGGATCTGACCTGGAAATTCTCAGTGATAAGGATATTGATGTTAAGTATATAGGAAATTAATACTTTTACTTAATTCCTGGATAATGAGAGGTAGGAAGGGTCATGGATAAGGACCTGATATGTACTGTCATGGTTCTGGATTGTTCACTAATCAAAGCACAATTCTGCTGTTGAAAGTGGCAGAGTGAAATGCAACATCTAAACAGATTGAGGATTAGGTCTAGCCCCGGAGTAGATTGGAGACCATGAATGGATATATATATGCTTACGTAATCTGTATCCGTGTATAAATTTAGAGTAATGGGCAGAATATCAGAGGCAAAAATGGCAGAAAACCCAAAATTTGTGGTATAGAAAATTCAAGCTATACATTGCAGGGAGATGTGTCATTGGTGGACTGAGATAATTATGTAATATAACAGTCTGGAGGTTCCAAGCCAATTGGTGCATTTATAAGGCGACAGACATCAAAGTACTGCGCGAATTTCCTTTTTGGTCAAGTGGTGTCGGGTCACGTGACCTCATGTTTAACAACAACTTTTCGCATGAAAGTGCAGGAAAAATGATGGAGGCATGTGCCGTATTAGAAACAAACAAACTTGGATAAAGAGTCAAACCAGCAAAATTTATCGTCTGGGGGGAGAGTTTGAAAAAAGTGAAAAGACAGAGGGAAACACCAGCGCTGCAGTATAACCACTGTTCCATTGTTCCATTGCGTCTTATTCTCCACAGTATCCTATCAGGCGCATGCCCCGTCGGCAAAATGACTAATTCAAGTTCGCCGCTCCGAATTTGCATTTATGCGCGGGCTTGGCTCGCCGCAGCCTATTCTCATTCGCAGCGCCCAAACGTACACGACCCGCCGGAGTCGGATCTCCGCTCATAGTTGAGTATCACAACGGCATTTGCTTGCCGATATCAAATTTGATGATTTGGTGCCGGAGCTTGGGAAAGCTCCCCAAGAGCAGCCAAAAGGGACTGGCTTGTGTACTGGCCAATGAAGCTTTTTGTTGTTTCAAGTCCTGCATTCACTGCAAAAAATTTGTGTCAAGACAGTACTTATTGATGTTGATTGATGTGTGACACACTTGCGTTTCTCCGTCATGTTGACGACATGAACTAGCTCACCGTCTTTACGCGACCTTACGACAACGCTTGGCAAGCTCTCCGTGCATACTTGCAAGCCTCTCTCTTTACTTGCTGCAGAGGCCAGCATCTGCCTTTTGCTTCGACAAAGCTTTAACACGCAAGCCAGCCACAGGCCGACTGAAGTTCAACTATGTGTCCCACAACTTTCCGCTGAACTCTGTCAACGACGCCGCTTACGACTTACGCGCGATGTAACATCAAGTCACACTGTCGCCTCTTTTTTCTCTCTCGACCACCACTCGAGTCCGTATTTGCCCATTTCCACCCAGCGACACCTCATTCAGGCTTCCTCTGGCGAAGCCTACACTACTGTGAGTTAGTTTCTGCTCCTCCTGCTCTCAGGGCCTTCCTCATCATCATCCTTGTAGCGCCGTTCGGGCAAGTCCTGGTGTCTCGACGCGCTTGCAGACCAGTTTCTGGCCAAAGCAACTGGTTGTGAGTTCGTTTTTCGCTTTGTCAAACGCGGCTTGTGCTCATGGTCCTTGCAGCGCCAGGTATCATGACACCCACCAAGTGCCTCGACGCGCCGTTCATCCAATACTGCCGGTCCAGTGACTTGGCAGTTGTATTGCAGCCTAAACGACTTGCCGCTACCTCCCCAAGGGTCACGAAGTCGCTACTCGAGTCTTCACCACCTCCAATCCCGCCCTCTCGGAAAGCGCCTCCAACAGGCCTCGCCAGCAACAACCGCGCGAGCGTCCAGCCTTTCCCGAGTGCTGACAGTGGGCTCGCTGCAGTCGTTGAAGACTTCGCGCTCCGCTGGTGACGTGTTCGCTCGCATGTCGCCCTGGTCGTAAGTAGCATATTTCAGAGTATAAACAACAACTCACAACTTACAGCTTAGATTCATCACGTCAATGCCAAGCTTCGGGTCACTCTCGTTTGCCTCTCGTTCACACGGCATGGTCTTTGGCTGCGCCATACCCATACCCTTCACTCCCGCCGCCATATTCTTTCACCCCCCGCCATCTCGACACTAGCAAGAACCGCGCGATGCTCATCCAGTCAACCGTCCCCATGCCTTTGCCAACTCCCCCGGCCCCTTTCTGGCTCCCCGGCCACATTTGCTGCTGCCCGCTTATGCCTGATACCTGCGACGAGCGCATGATGGCCATTCACCCCCGACCGCCGACACGCGCCATCATACTTCTCGGGCGGCCACGGCCAGCGTCCGAGCCCAACTTGGGCATTGCGCGACTCTTCTTCAAATGCTGGCCCGCTCACCATCTCGCATCAAGGCTGTCTTGTCGGCTATTTTCGCTCGCATTGCATTTGCCTTGTGTCACCTGCAGTGGCCCGGACACCATCATCTCCGCTAACCAACTTTGGCGCATGGTGTTGCCGCTTTCCCCATTCCTTCCTTCCGCTCCCACTAGTCGCCGAAGGTCATCAAGCATTCGCAAACCACTTGGCCGTGGTGAACCCATTGCACTTCGCCAACGGTCCGGCCTGTCTCTCGCCGCGGCCGTCTATCCCGGCGGTCCACCTTTCTCGAATATTGCGCATGTTGTATCGCACCGCCGCCGCCCTGGGAAATCCAGCTGCTGAGGTAAGACTCGAGTTTTACATTATGTTCGTGCCCTTGCTGATTCCTCTTGGCCTTGCCGTCAAGTCTACGTTGCGTTGTGACGCCGAATCAGCGCTGTTCGACTGTGCGTGAGGCTGGAGCACTCATGTGGGACACAAGCACCAATCGCGAATCTGCGTCACTTGCCAGAGTTGCCAACACTTTCCCTCCGACAACGCCACCCGCCATCCCGATTGTGCTTGCTTAGCCAAGTCTATGCCGCAAGAGCAACAACAAGGCAATGTAGCTCATGTGATGGAGTAGGAGGACACTCACGATACCAGTCTAAATGCTGTGTTGACGGATCGATGGACGCAGCGAACGATGGGCTCGCTAGGGGGGTGCGCGCAAAACTTGATGTCACGGACGTTCTGGCTGCTTTTGTGGAGTGCTTGCTGGGACAACAACTCGTAAGTCTATCTTCCTGTGGTTTCTTGTGTGTTTGCTTATTTCTTGGAAGAGAGAATAGCGCCGATGCCCATTCGGGCTCCGTGGCGTCAAGTTGGTCAACTCGGTCAAGTCTCGGTCGTGATGACGGCAGAGGTGAGTCTTCACCTCTGTCTTTTTTTTTGTTTCCCTCGCTGCGCTGCCTTCGGGAGGGGAGACCACGCACCAAAGTGGTAGAAAGTGCAGAATGGGAATGGCTACCCAGGACACGCGTTGGAATGTCTTAATTAGCGCGTTTAAGGCCTGAACCAGACACTGACCGTTTTTTAGCGCCAAAATAAGAATCTAGTGGAGGAATGCTAAGTGCGAATCTGTGAGATTTAGCATCACGTGACCGCGTTTGGGGCGGCGCGGTGCGGAGGAGGAGCCTGCGTCGGAGCAGGAGCAGGAGCCGATGTGGAGGTGGAGCGGCGTGCGGCGGCGGAGGATGAGGATGGCGTAGTCTCCCCCAGGTTTTTGGACTCAATGCTGGATTGTATAAAAATTGGTTGTCTTCGTATAACACACCTCCGAATCCATATCACATTGTCGAATGATCGCAACCGCAACTTGACCTCTAACCATGAGGGTCCTCCCACTCTTTCTCCCCGTTCTCTCCCTTTCGCTCTCTTCAGCGTCTCCAACTGGAGAGCAGGTCGTTCTGGGCCTCGACCGCGCCCGTTTATCGTCCCATAACGCAGCCAGCACAGTCAACACACTGCTCAACGACGCTACCAAGGCCATTCTCCGCGGCAAGAAGAACTTACAGAAGTGGATTCACGATGGCAGAGAGTATATCAAGCAGAACGAGCTCTTATGTGCGTAGTCCTCTCCTTATCTCCACGAGACGGAACTTAAATTCGCCTTTCCAGACGAGCTTGTTTCGCACCCTGTGTTCGAGGAGCACCAATTGAGGGTCACGAAGCCAACCGCCCTTTGCGACCCCAGCGTGAACCAAATCTCCGGCTACCTTGATATCGCTGAAGACAAGCATTTGTTCTTCTGGTTCTTCGAGTCACGTGACTCTCCCTCTACGGATCCTCTCGTTCTCTGGCTCAATGGCGGACCCGGCTGCTCCAGCTCAACTGGCTTGTTATTCGAGTTAGGGCCATGCTCTATTGCTGACGACGGCAAGAACACGACTTTCAACCCTCACAGCTGGAATTCCAATGCCAACATGATTGTGAGTTCTAAATGCAGCCTCTTCTGGTTATTTGACAACGCGTTCAGTTCCTTGACCAACCTGTTAACGTCGGATTCTCGTATGCTGAGGACGGCACGACTGTCAACAACAGCCCTCTTGCTGGGAAAGATGTCTACGCATTCCTTGAGCTATTCCTCCAGCGATTCCCCGAGTACTCCAAGCAACCCTTCCATATCAGTGGCGAGAGCTATGCAGGAACTTACGCAAGTTTTTCGTCTTTCTCTCAAATACTCTATTAATGTGTATTCCAGATTCCCAATATTGCCAGCGTTATCTGGCAAGCCAACCTCCAACTTGCAGCAGCCCCGAACCCAAGTCTCAAGAAGATCAACCTCGAGTCGCTGCTAATCGGCAATGGACAAACCGATCCTTATACTCAGATGGGCACCGTGGCTGAGTATGCCTGTTCCGGGCCTTTCCCCGTCTATGATGACCCCGAAGGACCCCAGTGCACAGCTCTACGAAGCAAAGTTCCAACTTGCCAACGGATGCTTCAGTCGTGCTACAAGTACAACAACAAATTTACTTGTGTTCCTGCGATGCTTTACTGCAACTCCCAGTTGTATGGCCCGATCATGCAAACGGGCGTCAACGTCTATGACGTGCGCAAGAAATGCGACCGCTCCAAGGACGGCGACCTCTGTTACCGGGAGCTCAACTGGATTGAATCATGGATGAACGAGCCAGCCAACAAAGTCGCGCTTGGCGTCGACCCGAGCCGCAACTTTGCCTCTTGCAACATGGAAATCAACCAAGCCTTCCTGTTCCAGGGCGATGGCGGACACAACAGCGCGGAACTCCTGACGGACCTCGTCAACGGTGGCGTCAGGCTGCTTATATATGCGGGCAACGCGGACATGATGTGCAACTACCTCGGAAACGAGCGCTGGCTGGAGGTGTTCGACTCGAAGTTCCAGAGCGAGTACAAGGCGGCGCAGCCTATACCATGGATAACCCATTCCACGGGCCAGCTTGCGGGCTCGGTCCGGTCGGCCGGCGGTAAAGGGCACACGGCTGGGAATGTTACTTTCGTTACTGTGTTTGATGCAGGGTATGTCTTGACTCTATCTTCTAGTGTAAACCTAATCATTCCCCAGGCATATGGTTCCGTTTGACCAGCCCGAGGCTGCGCTTGACCTCTTCAGCCGCTGGATCTCCAATTCCCCCTTGTCATAGAGTAACTCACATCAAGGATGTTTTTTGCTGATACACATAGCATATCATATCTTATTGCAAACTCTTGTACTCCTCACGTTTTCAACGACATCTGTGTTCATGTCCGGTTTTGCTTTGTGTCTGAACTCCACTGCAGGTATGCCCTTGAATGATCCACAGTTTCCTGGCCAGTGAGTCTAAGCAGCAGGCTGCAGAAGCACATTTGGGAGCGTATCAGTGTGGTGGTGAATAGAGATTACTTATCTGGAGCATAGAAAGGTGGTAGCAGTTGTGAACAGGGAAATGGTAAACAGTAGTGGCAATTGCAATACTGCCAACCCTTCGAAACAATCCTTTCCCTAAAGTTCCAAATCTATTTTGAACATCTTCAGATTTGAAGAGGATGAAGCAACAAATCATGTTGAGTAGTTGAAGAGAGAAGACCTCCTTTGAGAGACTGTCAATTTTGTTACAACTGCAGTTACATAGGTAGCATGTTATATAATATTTTAATAATCCATTCTATTGCAAACTGATACTCCTCGCACGCTGGTACAACGGCCGTTCTCGCTCCCTTTCCGCGGGCAACGGCGACGCCCGACCATTAATATGCCCGTTCCCCTCAACCACCGCCCCGTTTGGAATCACCCCAAATTTCGCAGGGCTCATCTTGAACGGGCTGATATTCATCGGCCTAGGGAACTCGAATGTCGATACCGTTGGTTTTCTCGGCGTTGGCGTCGAGGGCCGGACGCCGACTGAGGCCATTGCCGCTCTTCCGTGCTCGATAGCAGCCTCCCATAAGCTGCGAAGCGGGCCAACGTCCTGCTTAAGACTCGTCTCGATGATCATCTTTTCCATCTCCAGACTGAGCACGTCGATAACCTCTCCCGAGGGGATCACCGGCCGCAAGCGGGAGAGCGGTATTTGCGGAGCAGAGGGTTGGATCGTGTGGAGCTCAGTATGCAGGAGTTGAGAGGCTTGGTTCGCGTTGTCAGTTCAGCGAGAAATAAAAATATGGTTAACAGACCTTCGCGGTCAACAGCGGTTGCAAGCTGGAACAGTCGGTGCGACATTGCTTCCGTGACTTTGGCGGAGTCAGGGAAGAATTGCGGGGCGACGCGGGTGAGGGCAATGCTCATGAAGAGAAAGAGTTGGTGGAGGAAGAGAACATGCTGATATGCAACCCGTTGAGGGAAAAATATGTGTAAGATGGTGCGTCGTGTAGTTTGGCTGGAGCTTCCAGGTGCGCCAAGGAGAAGGCCAGTCGGAGTCAGAGGTGGCGAGGGCGAGACAATAAAGGATAGCTCGAAAGCAAAGAGTGAAATATAGAGTAGATAGCGCCACTGCCGATTATGGTTAGACAAGAATCGAATGAGAAGAGGCAAACACACAAAGGCAACAGGGCTCGTTTCGCCGATTGCGGTCCAGAATATAAGGATAATAATGGTCACAGCGTGATACCCGATGGACTGCATAAGACCGTGGCGAAGATACTCGCCAATGGTGGAGCAGTGACCCCATGTTAACACGTCGGGACCGAATCTAGCCAGTTGAGTTGAAGACAGGAAACATTGAGCGAGACTCACCTATCGTAAGCAAATCTAACAGTGGGGTTCTTCACGGCCTCATATGCATCTCTTACGCGAATGAAATGCGCCTCTCCCTGGGCGCCAACGCGATCTGGATGGAATCGCTTCGCAAACTGCCTGAACGCAAGCTTGAGCGTGTTGTCATCGGCAGTCGTTCCAACACCGAGATATTCGTAGAAGTTGGGCTCCATGCTCCGCGCCCCGTCAATCATTGTGTAGATGAGGTAGCCCAAAACAACGACAGCGAAGGCGTAGCGGTAGTGGCGCTGGTACTCAAAGGTGCCAGGCTGGGGAGGAACGATGCGGAAAAAGTTGAAAGCGAGGTGGTGGATGAACTGGAGCGAGTATTTGGTGGCTTGGTGGGGGGACGATGGCCCAGCCAATAATGCCGAACAGCGGAAAGGCCATCTTGAGTGGCACAAAGTGACCTGTGCACTGGCCAGACTGGGAGGAGAGAGAGAGGCTGGCGAAACGCCAAAGGCGGAGACTGAGTGGAAGCGAGAGTCAACCTTCGTTTGCTGAAAACGCGTGACATCACTTTTCTTGTTCCTTACACTCATGTCCAATCCTGCTCCCTATGGCCAGCCATACGCGCCAACCCCAGGCAGGGGCCGAGGCAGGGGAGCTGGTAGTGCGCCTACATCACGTCCAGGCTCCGTTGGCCCCAGCACACCGCATCTTTACAGCCCAGACATTCTCGCAAAGCTGAAAACCACAGTCGTCGATGGAAAGACGATCTATCTGTCCGAGTTCAAAGAGGGATATGTGCCGACTACCCCGAGCCCCTTCACAAGAACAACCACCACGTTTCCGACAGCGGCAAGCACTTTCAATTCCGCTTACCCCACCGCAGCGAGTCCTTTCCCCGCAACGTCATCAAGCACCTTTCAGGCCGCTGCGAGTAACTTCCCCACCGCCGCCAGCACGTTTCCCTCAACGCCATACAACTACCGGCCTTCTTCTTACACCAATACTTCTTACGCGTCTGGCTCGACTCCATATGGCTCATATACTACTCCCTCCACCTACGCCAGTCCAACACCCGCGACTCCTGGTCTTATAGGTCTCAGTGGCGCGCCAATAGTTCCTGCCGGCGCACCACCACCGTCAGCCCGACAACCAGTTATAGACGAAGATGGGGAAGGCGACGATGAACTCCTCCCAGCAATGGCAGACGACGACTATTCCGCGCAACTCTCATGGCAAAGCGAGTCCAAAGACAATCTCAAGTAAACAACCCCATAATACTTGTGTTTTTGTTTACTAAACTGTCAACAGGGTCTTAATGGACAGCTTTACGCCAGAGCAATACGAGCGCTTCGAGGCCTACAGGCGGCACGCGCTGCCCAAACAAGCCGTGCGAAAGCTCATCCAGCAAACTGTAGGCATGCAGGTATCTCCACCAGTGGCCCAGATCGTCGCGGGTTTCGGCAAAGTGTTTGTTGGTGAGATCGTCGAGAAAGGCGAGTGGAATTTTGTTCTTGATATCGACTTGCGGTAACTCCGCTACAGCACGGGCAGTCCAAGAACGTCGAGGCGAGACGGGGCCGTTGACGCCGGACCATTTACGGGAGGCATATAGGATGTATCAACAAGAGACGGGTGCCGTTGGGGCAGCGCGGCCACTGAAGAAGAAAAAGTTGTTTGTACGATAGCAGGTACTCCCCTTAACCAATCTAGTAAGGCGTGTTCCCTGAGCCCTCTGACATTGAAGTATCACTTGCTAGGTGTGGGGTAACTGCTTCTAGTCCACCGATCGAGAATGATTTGTTTGTCAAACCCTCCTTTGTTTGACCAATGCTACCTACACAAGTATTGGGCGTGATATGCACAACCGATATTACGGGCGACAAACAGATGTTTCACGACATAGCGGCATTGAAGGCCATCCTCGACACACTCCCCGACTCTGAAGCTAAGTGGCTGACCAGTGTTGATCTTGACGGCTTTACGGTTGTTCCCCTTGAAAATCTCTTCATGCGCTTCTACGTTTCGCTCTTGCAAACTCTCCGCCACATGCCAGAGGATGGGCGGGTCATAATCGTGATATGCGGGCATAGCGAACGCGACACAGGCGATGTCTATGTTGGGCCCGACCAGCAGGGTTACTGGAAAAGCTCTGTATATTCGAACGAGGTTGGATTAGCCGTCAAAGAAGTCAGCTGCGGCCTTCGCCCGGACCAAGTTCTCGTTGTCCCTCTGCTGTGCAACGGCAGCAGCCTATGGCAGCGCCAGCTTTGGACTCTCCTTGCTGCTGACCAAGACAGGAGGCTGCTGCCAACAGACCACTTTGAGCAAATTTCCGCCATCCTCCTCCAATCAGATGGTCGGTGTACCTCAGCAGCCCACCCTGTAAAACCGACCCCTCCTCCTCCCCCGCCTACTACCCCGTTGGATCCAGCGACAAGCCACGAGCTTGAAGCGCTCTGCCGGCGCGCGGTCGCGTTCCACATCCAAAACACAGGCAACGCTGTAGCCACCATGACAGGCGCCCTCGACATGCTCAAGGGACGCGCTGAAAGACTGTGTCCGCAGCGCCAACACCAGCTGCTCGCTGAGCTCCGCGGATGGACACGTGACTGTGCCCGGGCCGAGCGGATTGCGGAAGAGTTTGGCTGGACGATGACCAATCCACGGCGCGCGGAGCAGTGGCCGCTGGGAAATGGAAGCACTGAAATGGCGGAGGCACAGGCGGCGGGCGCGAAAATTCGAGACGAGTTTAGGCTTGACCTTGCGAGAGGGCGGTGGTCATCGTCGCCAGGATCATGGCTTGCAGCGGCTTGGAGGACAGCAGGGAAGCCATTGGTCGAAGAGGAGGACTGGGCGCGAGCTGTTGCTGTGTCGTTGGGGAAATGATCGCCATAATTGGACCAACAACCCTTCAAGTTTCGATTGGAGAGTCGGCGACCACTGGCATGATCTGATAGTTGGATCCGAACTTCAAGTCAAAGGAACGGTATCACAGATGCACTGCTATCTTCTCAAGCTCTGAGGAGTTAAGACCTCTGGAAGTGACAGTATCACTGTTAACACTGTATCCTGCCTCTTCCATTTCCAAGTATCGGGTAGCTTGATTTGGTCCTCAGGCATTAGTGCGCCGTCATTCTCAAGGTAGCCATACTTAAACTGCAAAACAAGTTAGTAACCGTCTGTCCGAGATGGCTTCTATCCCCATCACACCTATAGTGCACCATATTCCCCTCTAGTTAGAGGGTCAGGACCCCCCACGCTGACCCTCTAACTAGAGGGAAATAGAGCACTATAGGGCAGCTAATTCAAGCTTAGCGCGCTGCTCTTCTCAGCGGGGGAGACCGCTCACTGGCGGTCACTGGCCCGGCCCTTACCCACCGTCACCCCGCCGTCACCCCGCCGCCTGCCCCGCCACTGCCCCGACCCCGCCCACCCCGCCATCGTTGCCATCAGCGCGATGTGACGTCAACCCGATCAACATCAATGCCATCTGTCAACGACGTGGCGACCGTTGACGCCGCACGTTCCGCGGCTGTCCCGGCCTGTCGCCGTTGACGGCCCGCCCCCCGCGCTCGCTGTGCTTGACGTCGTTGAGCACAGCGAGCTCAATTGTTGTCCGTTTGACACGGGACCATGTGTATTAGATAGATATGAAGTAATACAGTTGATTTCCATCACATTTAGGCCCGCGCATGCGCCGCTTGCCCGGCCGACCCTCCCGCCCGCTGTCCCGCCCTCCTGCCCGCCCCCCGCCCGCCCCTGCCCGCCCCCCGACTCAAAAAATTGAAAGTTGGGAAATCGAAATAGAACACGTGCCGTATGAGTGGCATCACTCAAATCACGTTCGTTGCTGAGATATAGCGTGTTCTTGTTAACTCAAGTTAATGATGTAATTTTTTAAAAAAATGAAAAAGTTGCGTATTGACTGGAAAGCACGGGCAGTACAAGTTTCACCGGAAAAAACGCGTTTATTGTCGAGATATGATGTGTTCTTGTTAACTCACTCTGCACTACGTATAGTTGTTAACTCAACTTTGATTGCAAAAAATAAAAGTTACATTTTGATCAGAAAACATATGCTATAGAGGTTTCACCTGAAAAGACATGTTTGTTGCAAAGATATGATGTGTTCTTGTTAACTCACTTTGTAATAAGTATAATTGTTAACTCAATGATTCTAATAAGATGATATTTCAATAAGTAGACAAGTTATAGAGTTGATTGAAGCACCACTCTAGATACCCAAATGATGAGACCAATATCCCCACCAACAGTATGTTATTAGTTCACCTATATCACTCATTGATTATTCATCAGACCCATTGATCTAGCAATATCTCCACCAGTTCTTTATAGATGTAGATGATTGCTATACAGGTAGACAGGTAGTGATATAGTCTTAAGATGTTCTGATATGAGTATAGTCTTATACCTTGGGACTATACTGTTAAACTACTTTTTTAAAGTGTTTTTGTTTCAAATTTGATCAACCACAATGATGTCTTGATATCTAGGTCAAGAATGAATAGATAATTACGATTGAAGTTGTTTTCTAGTCTAATAGATATCTATCATAGCCCTGTAAAACCAATCTATTTTTAAGCATCTTGTCTCTCTTTATATATGGTATGTATGCCATTATTGCAATATGACCACAACTCACTCACAGGTAAGAATTCCTCAATGAAATGAGAGTAGAGCATATAGAGTAACATACCTATAAGAATATCTCTACATGTCCCTAGAGGATGAATTGTGGCAGATATTCCAATACAGATTGGATGCAAAACCAGTTTACATGACTGGTAAGGTCTATAGCCTCAGTATTGGACATTGAGATGGAGGTATAAGGATATGTGGATGTCTATTAGGACCCTGTCCTTCAATTAGTTATGCTTTCTACACATGTCAGAGAAGTTATCTGAAGAGAGGGTAGGTACCCATAGAGCAAAAGAGAGTGTCTTCGCTATTACAACTGGTCAGAAAATAATTTCAAGTATGATCCAAAACTTGGATGTAGGATGGTATAGACCCTCAAATGAACCTGTCCAGCACTTGAATCAACCCTATAGCTATTATGGATCTCTCACAGTACCATTATCAGTGTTATCTATCCCAATAATGATGAGTTTACCAGGGGATGGGCTGTGTGAATCTGACAAATTTAAGCATATCTACTGGTAGGGGTATGATCCACCTCTAGAAAAATGGTGCCCCTATCCCTCCAACATATCATCACACTATGTTATATGACAGCTAAGGCCTCTGGGATTTGACTGGCCCCAATCATTACTGTATGGTTATCACTGAGTAGAATGATGGTGGACTCACCTATGATACTATATCAACTTGGATCATGAGATTCCATGCATAGGGTCTCAGGATATCAACAAAATACTACTCATCTCAGTACTGAAGTATGTTTGGCAGTGAATAAATGAAGGTGTGGGGAGCAGATAATATGGATGATTATGCCAAATGGGTGTGGGGTGCCATACCCTTTGAATGAGCTCTTTCCCAGCTTTATCTAGTGAGGTTAGCTGGAGATCCAAGGTTATCTTTCACAGTTGATGGAAATCAAAATACCACTGATGAGTGGAATGCATGGCATTTCTACTGCCCTATCCACTTGGATTTGGAAGAGGACATACTAGAGCCCTAGCCTAGGGTATCTGAAGTCACAAGTGAGCAACCTTACAATTTTAAGCCCTGCATATACTCTTTTATATGAATGAATGGTTAATATAGCTGTTATATCATGTGATAATAATCCAATACCATGTCCAATTGATAATACCCTTGAGAACCTTCCTGGTAGTAGTTGAATCATATACTTAGGTCAAGTAGTTATGGAGATAGAGGCCCATCAGTTAAACCAGGTGGGGTTGAGTTAACAAGCAATATGAGTTAACAAGAATGGGTCATATCTTGACAAGAAAACCACTATTTTCAATGAGACTTGTCCTCTCCATATTATCTAGTCAAAATGCAACTTTTATTTTTTGGGGTCTAAGTTGAGTTAACAACCACATATAGTGCAAAGTGAGTTAACAAGAACATGTCATATCTCCGCAATGAACATGTTTTTTGTGATAAAACATGTAATGCACATGTTTTCTAATCAATACACAACTTTTTCATTTGTTTTGAAAAATTGCATCATCAACTTGAGTTAACAAGAACGTGCTATATCTCAGCAGCGAACACGATTTGATTGATGCGATCGATACAGCACGTGTTATATTTGAAATCTTCAACTTTTATTTTTTTAAGTCGGGGGGCGGGCAGGGGGCAGGCGGAGGGGCGGACAGGAGGGCGGGACAGCAGTCGGGGTCGGCCGGGTGATCTGAGCACGCGCAGGCCTATATGTGATGGAAATCAACTGTATTACATCATATTTATCTATTACACGTGGTCCCGTGTCAAACGGACAAGAATTGAGCTTGCTGTGCTCAACGATGTCGAGCACAGCGAGCGCGGGGGGCGGACTGTCAACGGCGACAGGCCGGGACAGCCGCGGAACGTGCGGCGTCAACGGTCGCCATGTTGTTGACAGATGTCAGTGATGGTGATGCCATTGACGTCACCAACGATGGCGGCGCTGATGGCAACGATGGCGGGTGGTCGGGGTAGCGGCGGGGGTGACAGCGGGGTGACGGTGGGCAAGGGCCGGGCCAGTGACTACCAGCAGGTACTCTTCCTCGCTGAGAAGAGCAGCGTGCTAAGGTAGAATTAGCGGGGGTGCCCTATAGGGCTCCAAACCCCTCTAGTTAGAGGGTCAGCGTGGGGGGTCCTGACCCTCTAACTAGAGGGGAATATGGTGCACTATAGGTGCCCCATCAAATGGTCAAGCGCCGCCGAGAACGACATTGCGCAGATGACCGCAGCGCAATTCGGAGGGACAGACCCTCGCGTCTACCACGAATATTTGGTGCAACGGTACTGGAGCAGCTACAAGACGTATCCCGCTATCAGCCAGGCTACCGCGGCGCGTATCCGGTGAGCATCGTCGCTGCTCGCCACATCGACCAGCCTGGCTTACAGCCTACCCTGAAGGCGGGGAGCACATGTGGGGGGCTCAGACCCCAATGCACCCGACCATATCACCGTGGCGTTTCGCCAGGGACGCAATGAACTCTGTACCGTGCACATCTCTACTGGCCGTTGAGTTACGGCGGGCAACGCAGACTAATGCTTGCTCATATTTCAAACTTGAATGCTCAGAACCCAATTGAGTATTCTATTCGCACAACCAAGCCTTGTCCGCGAAACTATACTCGAGCAACTCTTTCGCCGTGAATCGCCGCCTGTCATCCAGCTGCAAACACGCCTGAATGAACTCTGCACTCTCTTTGATATCTTCCTCCGCCAAACCAGCGATGTTGTGGTTTCGTATCATCTGCTCAATGGAAAGTGGTGTCGGCTTTGGAATGCGCCGGCGGAGGAGGTCACCTGTCAAGATGTTTTTAGAGACACGAAAGAAAGGGTAATATTACCTTGAGCATCAAAATACTTGGCTCTGTTTTTGGCGCGAGCGAGAACGTCAGCAGAAAATTGCTGGCCGGTCAGGTCTTGCATCTGGGCAAGAAGATCATCCTCCAATGTATAGCTGTCGCCTCCGTCTTCTGGATGGAAGAGACACTGTCCAACAAGAAGCTCAAATGTCTGCACAAATGTTAGATGGGAAAGTTGGGGCGTGGGATAGCTGACCAAGCATCCGACAGCCCATATATCAACTGCGGGTCCAAAGCCAGACGAGAGGAGGACTTCTGGTGGGCGGAGGGCGGGCGAGCAGCAGGTCATCCCAAATATAACGCCCTCTGACGATTGGGCTGGGGGGTAGTCACATTTCATTGAAAACAGGACACCTTTCGATTGCAAGCGAACTCACCATGCGAGTAGTCGAGAAGCGCAACCGTGATCAGCTCCGCTTGGAATGCCGAACTGTTGTACGCAAAATCGTGTGGAAGCGGTTGAGGTTGACTGTCGAATTGCGAAGGGTATTGCTCAAGGTAATCTTTAAGCTCCTGTACCGCCGAGAAGCGGGCGTTGGTGAAGAGAATGTTGTCCGCCTTGACGTCAGTATGGACAATTTTGAGGTCGTGCAGCAGTCCAAGGGCGTGGAGGGTCATATGGATGATGCTGCGCACCATATAGACAGGAAGACACTTGTTAGGTCCAGAGCGTCGAAGGGCGGCGACTGAGGTGCTGTACAACGACATGATGAGACAGAGGTGAGGTCCCTCGTTGAAGCCGTCGTACAGATGGGGTATGTAGTATTGTCCTTCTTTGATTGGCCCCTGTTCCGAGTCCCTAGAGTCTAAAATGGCTTGGAGGATGTTGCGCTCGCGGGCAGGCCCATTATGCTCGGCAGTAGCTTCAACACTGAAAATTTTGGCAGCGAAGTACTTGAGGCGGCTGGAGAGATATGAACAACGAAGCGTCGTTGAATGCCCGCATTACTCACTTCTCTGGCATCGACAAATCATGCACCAACCACGTCACCGCTGTGATTCCCTCGCCCAGCTTCCGTAGCACTGCATATCGTCCGCCGTTCAGTGTTGCGCCGAGTGTTGTTGGTTCATAGTGGGTAATGGTCATCTCGACTCTTCGGAGATGATGGTGGTGGAAAAGGGTTTAGCCCCTAAGCCACAAATGACTCCGAGTTGGAGTTGAGTTTTGACTCGGAACAATCGAAACACCTTTCTTTTGTGTTGGCATCGAATGAACATGTTCAAGTTCGGGCAATGTGGGGTCCGGGGTGGAATATCCCGGCCGGCGCCCCAACTCGCTAATCCCGTGGATGTGAGATAGACTGGCTCACTGACATGTAGACATCTCAGATTCTCACCGTATCGCAGAAACTTGTTTCGAGGCATCCTTAGACACGTTGTTGGCCTGCCTCTGAACTTGAATCATCGAGCGCCTGGTGAAGTCTCTCACTCCAATAATAATGCCCATATCCAGTGCTTGTGTTGTGGCCATTTGGGCGACTTTTTTCTGGAGCGGAGACCTTCGACGGAGTAAGTTTCAATGACTTGAGCTTCAGTAGCGAAATAGCTGCGTTTAATTGCCATCTTAGGCCAGTCGATAAAGTTGACAAGTTTCTGCGTCTTCTTGGAAATCACTTTGGACGCCGCCGGTGAAGGTGGCGAACGCATCTGTCTCTGCCACGGCCCAGGGCAATGTTCAGTAGCTGCCTGATAACTAATGGGAGATTCACTCGAAACCTCTAGTACTGTTCATATTGACACGTTCCTCTTTCTTCCAACACTTGAGTAGATTATGAATTGTTGACTCGAACGCCCAAGCGCCGACATTTCGATTTTTTTCAGTCTCCCTTAACTGTTCACTTGACATATGTATCCTCACCATCAATATTTCCGCCCTACGAGTCTGAGAAAGTACGCACACAGCTTGTTACGGTCCCGGACCATGGTCTTCCGGTGTCGTATGTATCTTTGCCTGCAGGACTTATCGAACTTGAATGGTCGGACCGCGAAAGACAATTCAAAGAAGACGTCACGTCACGTCACGGTGACATTTTCTTCCCCTTCCCCATCCCCACCCTGAACATGTCTAGACGTGTGTCTGCAACGTTTCCGATTGAATATTTACGCAGTTTTCCGCCGTGAATTGTAATCTGTCACACTCTCCTCCATGTCCCACCACCCGCTCGACCCCCTCACCCCCGATGAGATCACCGCCGTCTGCGACGCGGTGAGGTTGTACACCGCGACCAACACGGATGTCAGGACACTCAAGTTCATGACCTGCTATCTGTTGCCGCCCCCCGAAGAAGGTCAATCACGGTCAGGCGTAATCATCCATGGGACTCATATGCAAAGGCTGTTTTGGCGCACCATGCCATACCTATAGCCCCTGGTCGGAAACCGGAGCAGCCGGTGCCCATAACGCAAAAGGCGCAAGTCGACGTGTGTCCGCTTTTGACTATCGTAGCCCGAATACTGACGGTATGAAGTTTCAAGATGTCGCTTCAGGGTGTGTTGTTTTGCACTATCTTGACACAAGACTTATACTCCCAAGGCGGCATTAAAACAGCATTTTGTCACTACGAGAAGGCACATGGATGGTTGACTTGCTGGATCTCCTTGAAGACGGTCTCCAGCCAGCCATTCCGCCGGAAGAGCAACTTTCGGTGCGAGGTTGTAGTTAGAGCAGACCCGCGGGTCCAGCAATTCGCGAAGGACGTTGGTACGATTCCACCCTTGAGTAGCTTCTGATCTTAAAAACGCCATAGGGGTGCTTCCCGAGGAGATATTTTGCGAATCGTGGGCCATTGGCTACGACGACCGTTTCCCACCGACGCAGCGGCTGCAACAAGGACTCATGTTCGTGCGCTTCTCGCAACACGACAATCTGTACGCCCATCCAATGGTATGTGGTTTCAACATCTTGTTTCCTGCCGTCAAAACATGCCAGGATTTCACGATAATATACGACTCCATTGCTGAGAAGGTCATTCATATCGAAGTTTCCACCGCACTACAAGGATGGACTTGTCTCGTCGAATCTGTCAGGGGAACCCCCACCTTGGCATCTGTCCATCGCATCTCGGCATCAGACACCTGTCCATCAATTACCTACGTGATGCCCAAGCGACCGTCGTTTTGTCCACCGATAGGAATCAACGTAGGTAATGCATCAGGATCTGCAAGAAGATCCTCCTGGGACCTGGCATGCGACATGGCGCGGGCATATTGCATGGAGCAACGATCATTCTTGGCGCATCAAGAGCGCGGTATATAGTTGGCTACCTGGCAGGTGGACCCTCAGAGTTTCTTCTCTTTGGATCCTCCCCTGCCAGGTCAGCCTTGTTTGTATTCGTCTACCCTTATTCACTCTTTGGATCCTCCCCTGCCAGGACCTTGATCTCAGGCCTCCGGGGTTGCCCTTACAGCAGAAGAAACTCTCTACGGGATCAACCGGACAAGATTGCCAGGTTCGGCGCTGACTCAGGCTCGGAGTACGAGTCCGTTCCGCCCTCGTCACCGCCCCTGCCACTTGTCCCCTCCTCCTCTACTCCTGTGGTCCCCGCACCCGTCATGCCGTCCGGAGTTACTCCTACCGCAGACGCCCGGCTGGACTCACTCGAGGCGAAAATCGATAGCCTAACCGAGGCCCTTGCTTTACTCACCAACCAGGCTTCCGCTGCCGCTGCCGCCGCTAATAATGCTGGCGGACCCCAAACACCATCGCCGGAGACGTCGATTCCGACTCCGACTCCGGTCCAGGGCGACTCGAAGCCCTTTTTGGCGACATCAACCTCGCCTCAAAATTGGTCTTGCGACCAAACCCCCCGTTCACCTTCAACGGCGACCGGAAACGCGGCCGCCGTTGCTCCTCTACGCGGTCCGCACCTCGCCCCCCCTTGCCCCTGAGGCCTTCGTGGTCAACGGAGAGGCGAGCGAGGAAAAGGCCGTCCGCTATGCCATGTCGTTTATGGCAGAAGGACCCGCTCAGCAATGGGCGGAGCGCCACGGAAGCAAAGCCCCGTTTCCGTTTCCGTCCTGGGGCTCGTTCGTTTCCGAAGTTTCGACTCCGGTTCGTCGAGGAGAACGAGCAAGATCACGCTCTCTCCAAGCTGGAGACTTCCGCCTATCACATGGGCACAAAGGATGTCTACCAGTACACCGACGACTTCGAGGACCTGATGGACCTCGCCGGATTCGAAGACGGTTGGTCAAGGTGACCAAGTTCCGCCACGGACTTGACCCCCTGATCAACAACGGAATCACGTCCTCGAACGACCCCCGGACCTCCGGGATTACCTTAGCTGGCGCACCCGGGCCTTCCGTCAATACGAGGCCCTGGTCCGGGCCAAGCTGATCAAGTCAGCCGCCCCCAAGACGCCTGGCGGTTTGATTCGGACTCCGTTTCCGGTCAACCGCATCCCGGCTCCGGCCCCTTTCCGCCCGGTGGCTCCGGTCGTGCCACCCGCGGCCCGCGCCCCCTCCGGCGCCTCCAGCTCCCGTCCCTATGGAGTTGGATCGCACCAGGGCTCGGGGTGCCCCTCGTCGCGCCTGCTTCAGGTGCGGCGACCCAAACCATCTCGCCGGGGATTGCCCCCTCCCCGCTGATGTCCGCTCGATGGACATCCTCGACGAGGTGATCCAACAACTCGGTGACGAGATGTTAGCGGAGTTGATCGCCCGCTACACGGACACAGCTGCCCTGCCGGAGACGGCAGCGGAGTCGATGGCCGGAGAGGATTTTGTCCCCGCGACGAGTGACTGGTGTGCCCTCGTTCGCGTCTATAAATCGTTTTGCCTCTTTGTATGATGAATGCAGTTCCTTGCCCTACAATGAGCCCGAAACGAAAGACACACCCTCTCCTGCCCCCGCCTCGACTCCGTCTCCGACTCCGTCTCCGACTCCGCCCGCAACTCCGGTCATCGTCCTTCGCCGCCTCACTGCCTGGGAAAAGAAACTGCCCAAGCAGTACACTGTTGCCGCTGCCCCTGGGGCGAACTCCCTCCACCTCCCGTTGGAGCTAGAGTCCACCACCAGCGCGCTGAAGCTCTCGCTCTCTGGGCTTGTCGACTGCGGTGCCACCTCCGACTTCATTGACACGAACTATGTTGCCCGGAATGGCATTCCAGTCCGCACCCTCGATCAGCCGATTCCGGTTTTCAATGTCGACGGTACCCCTAATGATGCCGGCTCCATCAAACAGATCGCGGACTTGGTCCTGCGCTACAAGGGCCATGCCGAACGAGTTCAACTGGCCGTCACTCATCTTGGCAAGCAAGACCTCATCCTGGGGTACTCCTGGTTGCGGAAACACAACCCAGAGATCAATTGGGAAACCAAGGAGGTCAAGATGACACGGTGTCCCCGCAATTGCTCGACCTGCCGCGAGGAGGAGCGTGTCGAACGGACCGAGTTGCGGCGACTCCGGTCACTCCAGAAACGTCTCCGCTCCGGCCCGTTCCCCTCGGTTTGCACTATGGACCTCTCTGGCCCCGAAGACGGAGACGATTCCGACTCCGGTCTCAATTCCGACCTGCCTGATCTGACACCAGACTCGGACTCGGACGACGAGGATGACCAGCTCGAAGATGGTGACCGCATCTTCTACACCTCGTTTCGTCCCTCAGAGGAGATACGCGCAGGTAGCACCGTCTCACAGCGCCTGGCCGAAGCCTTTGCCAGGAACTCTGCCCCTCCGCCCTCCGAGATCCCGGACTGGGCTAAGGAGTTCCAGGACGTCTTCAACAAGGAGTCCTTCGATACGCTACCGGAACGGAGAGCCTGGGACCACGCCATTGAACTCGTCCCCGACGCTAAGCCCACCAACTGCAAGGTGTACCCCATCTCGCCCCTCGAGCAACGCGAGCTCGACGCGTTCATCGAGGAAGGGCTTTCAACGGGCCGGATTCGCCCCTCCAAGTCTCCGATGGCGTCTCCGGTCTTCTTCGTCAAGAAGAAGGATGGCGGACTCCGTTTCGTCCAGGACTACCGTGCTCTCAACGCGATGACTGTCAAAAACCGGTACCCCCTTCCGCTGATCAACGACCTCATCAACCGGCTCAAAGGCGCTCGTTACTTCACCAAACTTGACGTCCGTTGGGGCTTCAACAACGTCCGGATCAAGGAAGGTGACGAGTGGAAAGCGGCTTTCCGGACTAACCGAGGCCTGTTCGAGCCCTTGGTGATGTATTTTGGCCTGACAAACTCTCCCGCGACATTCCAAACGATGATGAATGACATTTTCCAGGACCTCATCCTCTCCGGAGACGTCATGATCTACCTTGACGACATCCTGATCGCCCATTCTGACCTCCGGAAACACCGGCAGATCGTTCAGGAGGTCTTGCGGCGACTCCGAGAGCACAAGTTGTACCTCCGAGCAGAGAAGTGCGACTTTGAAAAATCGTCAATCGAGTACCTCGGAGTCATCATCTCCCATAACCACGTCGAAATGGACCCCGTCAAGGTCGCAGGCGTCTCCGCTTGGCCGACTCCGGAAAACAAGAAGGACATTCAGCAGTTCCTTGGGTTCGCTAATTTCTACCGCAGGTTCATTCGGGACTTCTCAACCCTTGCGCGCCCTCTTTTCGTGCTCACCAAGAAGGACCAGCAGTGGACTTGGGGCGACGCGGAGGCCTCCGCGTTCCAAGCAATCAAGGACGCGGTCACCTCGGAACCGGTCCTGGCGATTCCGGACGACGCACGGCCTTTCCGACTTGAGGCGGACAGCTCTGATTATGCGACGGGGGCGGTTCTTTCACAATCCGCCCCGGACGGGAAGTGGCACCCTGTAGCATTCTATTCCAAAAGCTTAAATGATGTCCAGCGCAACTACGAAATCCACGACAAGGAGATGCTCGCGATCATCCGCGCACTCGAGGAGTATAGACACTTCCTCGAGGGTGCCGCGCATCCCATCGAGATTTGGACTGACCATAAGAATTTGGAGTACTTCAGGAAGACGCAGCACCTCAACCGGAGACAGGCCCGCTGGTCCCTCTACCTCTCCCGGTTCGACTTCACGCTGCACCACAAGCCCGGTCGCGACATGGGCCGACCTGACGCCCTCTCCCGGAGACCCGACCATGGAGTCGATTCCGACAACTCCGATGTCGTCCTTCTGCGGCCTGAACTCTTCCACGTCCGCGCACTCGAGGGCGTTTCCGTTTCCGGTCCCGGCTCTGAACTCCTCCGCGACATCCGTGATGCCCTCTCCGGTGAGCCTGACCTGGAGGAGCCCGTCGCACTAGCGGCCCGGCAACTTCTTAAGGTCCAAGGTCAAGCCCGAGGCCCCCGCTCTTCACGGTCTGACGAGTGGGCCGTCTCCGGCGGTCTTCTCCATTTCCGAGGAAAGATCGTCGTACCAAAGGACAAGGACCTCCGGAGACGCATCATCGAGCTCTGCCATGACACCCGAGTTGCCGGACACGCAGGTCGTTTCAAGACCTTGGAGTTGGTCTCCCGGAACTACTGGTGGCCTCAGATGTCTCGCCATATCGGCCGGTATGTTGCGACCTGCGACTTGTGCTGTCGCACCAAGGCACTTCGGAGACTGCCCCACGGAGAGCTGCACCCCACGGAAACGCCCCCGGAACGCTGGCATACCGTCTCCGTCGACTTCATCGTAGAGCTTCCCGAAGCCCATGGGTACGACGCGATCATGGTCGTCGTTGACACCCTCGGAAAGCGCGCCCACTTCTCGGAGTGTCATACGACGGTCGATGCAGTAGGGGCAGCCCGCCTCTACTACCGGAATGTCTGGCGGCACCATGGGACTCCGGAGAAGTACGTCTCCGACCGCGGCTCGCAGTTCATCGCGGACTTCACCCGAGAACTCTGGCGTCTAATCGGCATCAAGCCTGCCACGTCCACCGCGTACCACCCGCAGACAGATGGTCAGACAGAGCGCGTCAACCAGGAGTTGGAGCAGTACTTGCGGATCTTCACCAACTATCAGCAGGACGACTGGGATGAGCTGATTCCGGCCGCGGAATTTGCCTACAACAACCATGTTCACTCCTCCACACAGCAGGTCCCCTTCATGACGGACACGGGACGGCTCCCGCGCATGGGCTTCGAACCCGGAGTCCGTTCCACCATGGAGTCGGTGAACGAGTTCCGCGACCGGATCGCCACTGGTGTTGCTGAAGCCAAGGCCGCGCTCACTAAGGCCAAAGAGGAGTACAAGCGCTACTACGACCGGAGACGCACTCCGTCTCCGGAGTTTAAGGTTGGCGACCGTGTTTGGCTGGATGCCTCTGACATCAGGACGACTCGCCCCTCGGAAAAGTTCTCCCATCGCCGCCTCGGACCGTTCAAGATAGTCGCGGAGATCAGCAAAGGTGCCTACAAGCTCGACCTCCCTCCGCGCTACTCGAAGCTCCACCCGGTCTTCCCCGTCGTCAAGCTCGAGCTTGCCCAGGACGACCCCTTCGACGGACGCCCCGGCTACGACCAGCCCCCTCCGGACCTCGAGGACGGAGTCCCGGAGTGGGAAGTAGAGGAAATCTTGGACGCAAGGGTGAGGTATAAACGGCTGAACTACTTCGTCAGATGGAAAGGCTACGACGCATCGCACGACCAGTGGGTCCGCTTCGACCGCGTCTTTGCCCCGGAGAAAATTGCGGAGTTCTATCGTAAGTACCCTGGCAAGCCACGACACATCGCCTCCGCGACCTTCGACTCGATTCCGTTCCGGTCTATGCGTCGAGACGCCGCATTCAAAGGGGGGGGTGATGTCAGGGGAACCCCCACCTTGGCATCTGTCCATCGCATCTCGGCATCAGACACCTGTCCATCAATTACCTACGTGATGCCCAAGCGACCGTCGTTTTGTCCACCGATAGGAATCAACGTAGGTAATGCATCAGGATCTGCAAGAAGATCCTCCTGGGACCTGGCATGCGACATGGCGCGGGCATATTGCATGGAGCAACGATCATTCTTGGCGCATCAAGAGCGCGGTATATAGTTGGCTACCTGGCAGGTGGACCCTCAGAGTTTCTTCTCTTTGGATCCTCCCCTGCCAGGTCAGCCTTGTTTGTATTCGTCTACCCTTATTCACTCTTTGGATCCTCCCCTGCCAGGACCTTGATCTCAGGCCTCCGGGGTTGCCCTTACAGAATCCAGATACCAGCCCCCCGGATCTTCAACTTGACCCGCTAGTGGTTTCCGGACGGGAGCGCGTTCCTCCTCCCCGCAAAGCATTTGATTTCCTGCCAGACTTGATGGCGGCGGCAGACAAAGACTTCAAACAACGTGATGACCTCAAGCCGCTGCACATACTGCAACCGGAGGGCGTCAGCTTCCGGCTTGATGGGCAACAACTGGAGTGGCAGAATTGGAAGATGCATATTGGTATGTCTGTTTCCTTTTCCCGAGTCGATGCCTATTGTCTGCAGCGTTTCACCACCGCGAAGGCCTTGCGCTGTCAACTATCACCTACAATGACCACGGTGAGGTGCGGCCGCTGTTTTACCGCCTTTCGTTATCGGAGATGGTGGTTCCATATGGGGCGCCAGAGTACCCTCACGGGCGAAAATCTGCTTTCGACGCGTGAGTTGCCTACATACTCGTTGCTCGGTCTCATTCGCCGTAGTGGAGAGTATGGAATGGGTATCATGGCCAGTGAACTGTCTCTTGGATGTGATTGCCTGGGCCAGATTCATTACATGGTACTCCTTTTTTATCTTCCACCAGACATTTTGCTCAAGCTCTTGCAGTCCGGCATTTGTCAAGCACGACGGAACAGCGGAGGTTATCCAGAATTGCATTTGCATTCACGAAGAAGATGCTGGTGTGCTGTGGAAACACACTGATTTCTGTCCTGGAGGAAGGGGACAGACCGTTCGTCGCCGACGCTTGGTCGTTAGCATGGTTTGCACATTGGCCAACTATGGTTTGCATGATGTCATCGTTTTCACCCCCGCTAACTTATCACTAGAGTACATCTTCAACTACATGTTCTACCAAGACGGGACAATCGAGCTTGAGATCCGCATGACTGGCATATTACAAGTATATGTTGCCCCCGATGGAGAACAGCCGCTGTATGGGACCCTCGTTGCGCCGAATATCAACGCTCAGTTCCACCAACACATTTTCTCCATCCGTGTGGACCCGATGATTGATGGGCTCAACAACTCGCTTGTCGAAACGGACATAATGGCTTCGCCTTTTCCCACTGGGTCGACCGAAAACTTTGCTGGAAATGCGTTCATTGCAAAAGACACTGTCCTGACGCGGGAATCGGGCCGCGACTTGCCGCCGCCTGGGGTCGAGCGGCGGTGGCGGATTGTTAACCGGGGCAAGCAGCACTACAGTACGGGCAGCGATGTCGGGTATGCCATAAATATCAAATCCGGCGGGGTCGAGCTTATGACAGCCCATGACGGGTGGGTCGGGAGGCGGGCAACGTTTGCGAAGAAGCCGGTCTGGGTGTGTCGTGATGTCGAGGGTGTGAAGGGCGGCCGGATGTGGGCAGCAGGGAACTATGTCCCGCAGACGAAGCAGGCGCCGGAGGACTCGATTGGGGAGTGGGTGAAGGGGGAGGAGAGCATCGAGGACGAGGATTTACTCGTGTTCCTGACGATTGGTAAGCGAATTCGACTATCCTGTTCAACTCTTCTGAGCGGACACACAGGCGCGACTCATATTCCGCGACCAGAAGATTGGCCAGTGTAAGGTTTTTTCAACTATTTCCGTTGGCAATTGTCTCATAGGAGTCGCAGGATGCCTGTCGAGCATATCAACATCAACTTTAAGCCAGTTTCATTCTTTGCATGCAATCCCAGTATGGATGTTCCTGGTGTCCATGACCCCAAGAGCGTCCTTGCTTTTACCCCGGATCCAAGCAACAGGAATCAACCCTGTCATTAACCGCGGATTTTTTTATTTGCACTCTGAATAGATTTTTTGTCCTTTTACAACTTGAGCATTGAGAAAAAAGTTTAGATGCCTTCGTTCTTGTAAAAGGACGGAGAAGTGAAGTTTTCTCTTTGTTGGTGTCACGGTTACGTAATTGTTTTTCTTTCCTTTCGACCACGTATTGCAGGTGGAACATTGTCTGTATAAGCGCTGCCAACTGCTTGGAATGACTACTTGACGCGGGCCGGACGCCGCGAAAGAAGGAATATGGGCACGCCGACGTAAACAAAGTAATCTTGTGGACAAAAGAAGCATCCGCCTTGTGTATTAGGCTTTTCGTCCCCTACCATGAAGCGGGGGTTCCTCAACAGTGCGAAGTCAAAGGCCATCCGCCTTGGCTCTGACGCAGGCTACGGCTCCAGCAGTATGTTCTTTGCGTTGTGCCGCCCACACTTGGTTCATCTGGTTGTCCTAGGCACAATCGGTGCACCGTCGATGCCAACCCCAGATCTCTCCTCCAGTGGCACTGATACAGTCATCCTGCCGGCCAATGCAGCCCCCGACGAGCCCGTGACTGTTTGTTTCTTCTGGCCCGGCTCGAAAGAGGTGTTGATGAAGATGCCGGGCTATCCCAAACCCTTGCGCAAAGTGTCCGAGCCCACCTTTCGAGTCGGTGAGGCTGGCAGCAAGGGCCTCGGCCTGTTTGCGACGCGTGTGCTTTGAGCCAAGGAGAGCTGATCATCGATGAACAACCGTTGCTCATTAGCGTTCGCGGGGTCCCTGTGGCGGTGCCGGCGATGCTTAATCAGGAACAGACGACCAAGTACCAATTGAGAGAGTTTGAGAAGTACCTGGAGGTGGTGTTGAAGAAAATGCGGCCTGCGGATCGGGAAGCTTTCATGTCTCTTGCGAATAGCCATCTAACTGATGGATCAGTGAGTATTGACTTATATTTCTGTCGCGACACTCAAGTGTTGACCCAGGGACCCATTGCTGGCCGTATTCGAACGAATTCTCTCGGTCTGGATGGACTCTGTCCTGCCATGACTGGCCCGATGGCACAGTATAGCTCTGTCCCGCATTATATTTCGCGCATGAATAACAGGTCAAGTCGTATGACTAATATTTCTGTCTCCCTTTGCTGAAATTCTACTTCCAGTTGCTCACCCAATACAACCTCCAATTTTCACGACACGTCGATTTCTTATACGGTCTATGCAGCGCGCGACATTGCGGAAGGCGAAGAACTGACGCTGTCCTACTCCGACGTCTGGGACACTGCAGCCAACCGGCAACAGACTTTCAAGCCATACGGTTTCGTCTGCGCATGTGATGCGTGTCGTGACCCCATCAGCTCCGACCGTCGGCACGCCAAAATTCGCGCGTTTGTTCCGTCTGTCCGGATGTGGGCCGTCAACCGGTCGCTGCCTGATGACTGGCTCATCAACAAGTGCCTCGAGCAAATAGCGCTGCTGGAACAAGAGAAGCTCGAGGGCGAGTCGCATTACCATGCCGCGATTAACGCCATCATGGAGGCGTATATCTGTCTGGGCGATTCGCCCAAAGTGCGAAAATGGGCAGCACGTGCCCGCAAATGCCCGTGGGCGGCAACTCTTGAGAGTCTGGATGTGATGATTGCCCTCAAGTCGCATGACGGACACCCGCTGTGGCGCATGCGCGTCGAAAAGTGAGAAGGAGGCTTGATCAAAGCAGCTAGCAGGACGATGCATAACTTGCTGTTGTTCTGCAACGAATCAACAATTTGTACAACACTGAAGTATCTTGCCAAACTTGCTGGACTCATCATATAACTTCGAGTCGTTCTCGTGATCCTTTTAAAGTAGTTTGCAAGTATTGGTGGTACACTATGCCGAGTGAATGACTTAGCTCAAGCGTGGGCATTTGCTCGGAAATGGACAAACACAGAAAGAAGGATGACTGTTTGTTGACTGCCAGTGTTTGATCAGTCACGACCCGACGACTGGCGGAACGGGGTCAAACCTCACGTTCGACCCCGACGACTGGCGGAACGGGGTCAAACCTCACGTTCGACCACCACTCCCGAGCCGACCATCTAGCAACAGCGAAGCCAACAAGAAAAAGTCAACACAACTGCAACGAATAGCGCAGCACACCAGCCCGCGCGAGGAACGGATATTCCCATTCCTCACAGCCCCGTGGCGGCGAACAGCAGCGGACTTCGATGGTCGGTTGACAATCCAAGGCACAGAAGGACAGGAGAAGGAGAAAGCTGCCAAAGAACATGACAAACGAGCCGAGTGGCTCTCTCTTTCTGACACCCACCTACTGATCTACACAGATGGTTCCTTGCGGGAAATACACAAGACAAGACGAGTAGGAGCTGGAGTCGTAATATATCGAGGAGGGGAGGAGGTATTCACACACTCAAGCGGTCTAGGCGGACATGCAGAGGTATATGATGGGGAGATAACGGCCCTGTTGTTTGCAGCGGGCAAAGCGACGGCACTCTCGGGACAAGACGCAACCATCAAGCATCTGCACTTTTTTGCCGACAACACGTCAGCGATTAAGACGGTGTTTGAACCCAAACCACGACCAGGCCAACTCCAGGCACACATCTTCCACCAAAGGATTTGCAAGTTCCTCGACGACGACCCAGAGCAAATGGTGGAGATCTCATGGTCCCCTGGACACTGCAACATCGCAGGGAACGAGCGGGCAGATGAGCTGGCAAAACGAGGGACAGAGATGGCGACAACAAGCAACGGGACACGGGCGAACGCGCTCAGAAGGGCGAAGGAGAGGGTCCAGAAGGAGTGGGTCAGAGAGTGGAAATCAACGCCAAAGCGAGGACACTACGCAATCGCAAATCGGTTCCCGCCGTCAACAAAGCCCACGAAGCAGTTCATGGCATTAGATGGGAAAAGAGAGGTTTTTGGGAGGGTAGTACAGTGTCGAACAGGACACTGTTTCTCAGGCGAGTACTATGCCCTCCGCGCGTACCATCCGAGAGCGTTGACTGCCCCTGTGGCGAACACGAGCAGACCCGCGAGCACATCATATGCGAGTGCCCCCGCTACGAGCAACACCGCAATATCTTGCGGAAGGCATCGCGAAGCCTGTCACTCCCGCAAATTCTCGGGACACACCAAGGCATAATGGCACTAGCAGATTTCTTGGAGAAGAGTGGCGCGTTCACCAAAACGGGGTACCCACACGCCCCAACATCCCTCCCCACCTTCGACAACGAGCCAGATCCACCTGAAACGGACGACGAAGAGGAACAAGAGTAGCGCCGAGCGCTGAACAAGTTGGACCAGCTCCCAGCGGGCACTTTATTTATTTATTCTCTATGCTACATGCTCCATGCTTTACGGCCCAACGCCAACAACCTCGCAGGACTGCACAGCTAGTCCAGACCATGTCAAACCCTCCCCGCCATTCGCTACACCCCATCCAGACCGAAACCAATCCCGCCGCAACACCCTGTCGAGCGGCCAGACGGATCCGCCGTCCCGGCCACCGCGTCTTAGTAGTTAGTGTACTTGTTGCGGTATATAAATGCAGATACAAAAAAAAAAAAAAAAAAAAAAAAAAAATGATCAGTCACGTTTCTGGGTATTACGTAACGAACCGCACGACTTTTGCATTCTGACCACGTCTGACCACGCCTGACCACCCACTCCAGACCATGATGCTTTCTCAGTGCTTCCACGTCCTCGACACTCCACATCACGTCCAGACTTGCGATGACTGCTCGAAGCGGGCTGGAAGCACCAAAGAAGAATGGGGCACGCCGCGGCCAAGCAGGAACTAGGCAACCTTGTGAACAAGAAGAAGCATCCATCGCGCCTCTCGTCTTTCACGTCCCCTCACCATGATACGAGGCTTTCTCGACGGCGCGGCTGCGCTCCTTAGCTATGGCTTCCGCGGTGCGTCTTTTTTTGTGCGGTTTCGTTGTTTTATAATCGGGGTTTCTTAGGCACAGCTGCTGCATCCTGTTTCTCTTCGACGGAAACTGTTGTCCTACCAGTCAATGCGGCCCCGGATGAGCCCGTAACCGTCTGTTTCCTCTGGCCCGGCTCAAAAGAGGTGCTGATGAAGATGCCGGGCTATCCTCAACCTCTAAGTAGGGTGTCCGAACCCACATTCCGAGTCGGCGGGTCCGGAAGCAAAGGCCTTGGTCTGTTTGCCGCTCGTGCTCTCAGTCAAGGAGAGCTTATTATCCACGAACGGCCGTTGCTCATTAGTGTTCGCGGGGTCCCCGTGGCTGTGCCTGCGATGCTTGATCAGGAGCAAACGACGAAATACCGGCTGAAGGAGTTGGAGCGACACCTAGAGGTCGTGGTCAAGGAAATGCGACCTGAAGATCGCGATGCCTTTATGTCCCTTGCGAATAGTCATACGACTGATGGATCGGTGAGCAGCCACGGTTCTTTCGCGATACTGCAACTGATATTGCTTTAGGGCCCTATAGCTGGTCGAATCCGAACGAATTGCATCAGTCTGAATGGACTCTGCCCTGAGATGAGTGGTCCGATGGCGCAGTACAGCTGTGTCCCGCGTTATATCGCGCGCATGAATAACAGGCACGCTTCCCTCCTACGTTTTTTGTCTCCCTGCTGATATTCTAATCCCCGTAGTTGCTGTCCCAATACCACCACCATTTTTCACGAAGCGTCTATCTCCTACACGGTCTATGCAACGCGGGACATTGCGAAAGGCGAAGAACTGACGCTGTCCTATTCCAATGTTTGGGACACTGCAGCGAACCGTCAACAGACTTTCAAGCCATATGGATTTGTCTGCGCGTGTGATGCTTGTCTCGACCCCGTCAACTCAGACTGTCGTCGCGCCAAAATCCGCTCATTCATCCCAAACCTCCAGTTGTGGGCCGCCAGCCGGTCTTTGCCTGACGACTGGCTCATCAATAAGTGTCTCGAACAAATGGCGCTTATCGAACAAGAGAAGCTCGAAGGCGAGCCTCATTACCACGCTGCTATCAACGCCATCATGGAGGCGTATATTTGTTTGGGCGATTCGACCAAAGTGCGAGAATGGGCGGCACGCGCACGGAAATGCCCGTGGGCGGACAGCATTAAAAGCTTGGATGCCCTGACTGCCCTGGAGTCACATAGTCGCCACCCATTGTGGCGCGCGCGGATTAATGAGAATCTAAAGGGTTGCGGGTCATAATGAAGGTGGAGGAGCGTAAGTTTTTTTTAGTAGCAACAATTGGACAACAGTGACCAACAAGTATCTTTCTCCACGACCGGTGTGGACGTGCTTCGTGGCGAACTCCTGAGACCCCCTTGAAGACAACGACAATGCGATTTGGCTCAGTCACAAGCTTGAGCGCTTGGGCTCTTGATCCCGGTGGCTCTCGTGGAATATTGTCGTACATAGGCGACCGTTCCAAAGTTTGTGGAATGCTTCATAGCATTGAGATGGTGTACTGTTTAAGCACAGGCAATGAAGGACTTCGTCCGGCTTAGATGACACTAGAGAACTGTATAAGTACTTGTGCTGTTGTGCCTTTCGTTCGTTCTACAGTCACATGAGGAATTTCAAGTGTTACGTAACAAATGTCTTTTGCATTCCAACCATGCACTTCAGGTGGATTATACATGCTTGCAAGTCCCCAACATTTTGCGGTGACTACCGGAAACGGGCGCGGCGCACCAGAGAAGCAATGGGTACTGGCACGCCAAACGTAAACAAAGCAACCTTGTGGACAAAAAGAAGCACCCCATCCGCCTTTAGTCTTTTTCACCCCCACCATGATACGAGGTATTCTCGACGGTGCCGCCACGCTCCTTGGCTATGGCGCCAGTAGTATGTGTTTGGTGTGGTCAAAATGTGTTCATAATTCAATTTTCAAGGCGAAACTGCCCCACTCGATTTCTCTTCCACCGAGATTGTCGTCCTGCCAGCAAACGCAGGCCCCGATGAGCCCGTCACCGTCTGTTTCTTCTGGCCCGGCTCAAAAGAGGTGTTGACGAAGATGCCGGGCCTCAGCCCTTACGCACGGTGTCCAAACCCACGTTCCGAGTTGGAGAGGCGGGAAGCAAGGGGCTTGGTCTTTTTGCTGCTCGTGCTCTCGGTCAAGGAGAGCTTATCATCGATGAGCGGCCATTGCTCATCAGCGTTCGCGGGGTGCCCGTCGCAGTGCCCATCTGGTATAGTCAGGAGCAGACGACAAAATACCAGCTGAAAGAGTTTGAGAAGTACCTAGAGGTGGTTTTGAAGGAAATGCGGCCTGCAGATCGGGATGCTTTCATGTCCCTTGCAAACAGCCATACGACCGATGGATCAGTGAGTTATCACCCACATTGCTTCTGCGGCACTAACTCGTCCTGTTGCAAGGGACCTATAGCTGGTCGAATCCGAACGAATAGCATCGGTCTGGATGGACTTTGCCCTGAGATGAGTGGTCCAATGGCACAGTATAGTTCTGTCCCACATTTTATTTCGCGCATGAACAATAGGCCCGTCTTCCTATCGTATTTTCGTGTTTTTCTGATACTCTTCTTACAGTTGCTGTCCTAATACAAGCACCAACTTCCACGACGCGTCTATCTCCTATACGATCTATGCAGCACGTGACATTGCGGAAGGCGAAGAACTGACGTTGACTTATTCTGACGTCTGGGACACTGCAGCGAATCGCCAGCAGACCTTCAAGCCATACGGATTCGTTTGCACGTGTGATGCGTGTCTTGACCCCATCAACTCCGACACTCGTCGTGCCAAGATTCGCTCGTTCATTCCAACCGTACAGTTGTGGGCCGTCAACCGGTCTTTGCCTGACGACTGGCTCATCAACAAGTGTCTCGAGCAAATGGCGTTGCTGGAGCAGGAGTAGCTCGAGGGCGAGGCGCAGTACCACGCCGCCATCAATGCCATCATGGAGGCGTATATCTGTCTGGGAAATTCTCCTAAAGTGTGCCATTGGGCGGCACGGGCACGGAAATGCCCGTGGGCGGCAAACATTGAGACCTTGGATGTGCTGATTGCCCTCAAGTCGCATAGTCGCCACCCGCTGTGGCGCATGCGGGTCGACGACAAGCCAAAGGGAGAAATGGCGTCGCAGCTCAAGCGGTTGGCGGCACTCGCGGGCGGGACGGACAACGGAAGAGGGCTCATAATGTTTGCAGGAGCGTAAAATCTGATAAATTGTACAACAGTGTTATCTTGCTCAACGACCGGTGTAGGCGTCCTTCGAGCCCTTGCGGTATAAGCATCTCGGCACGCAGGCCACACGCCGCGTACCTCGGATCTTCCTCCGCCGCAGGCTCCTCCTCCGCCGCCTCGCCGCTCCCAAACGCTGAACTGGTCAGGTATGGCAGATTATCCCATTTTGCTAAGGAAACTGACGAGTAGTCAGCGGTGCAAGCGTGTTTTCTGCATTCAGCAGCACTTGCCAGGCTGGGTATGCTGGCCGGAAGTGAGCGCGTGTTCCCGCTGACGTTCTACGTGAAACGGGAGTGCTGGGCCATTAGCTAAGGGCGGAGAGCTCGATAGTAAACTAAACCGACGAGGTAAGCGTTATCTCCGTGAATTCATAGTTTTGCAACGTTGGTCTTTGGAAAGCCATTTATCACAAGCAGCGGACGCGAATCAGGGAGTGTGTTTTCTGCATTCAGCAACACTTGTTGGGCTGGTTTGGGCGAAATCATGGGGCTACAACGGTCAGGTTTGCCCATGTTCGTCCGAGTTTTACTCAACACGTACTTTGTGTCGATCGATCGAGAGGACCACAGCACGTCCTTCGCGCACGCCAGCGACGACCTCCACAGTCCAGACTACACCCCTTCCGTTCAAGCCCGAGGCGTTGCTCGCGGTTCTGGCAGCAAAAAAAAAAAAAAAAAAAGTTAGTTGAGCAAAATGTACCGCGGAAAGTGCTCACGTAAGCGACGCGATCAGGGAGAATTTTTGTCTCCAGCTCGGCCGGCGCGTCGTTGGTATATGTCGGCAGTGGTCGAGGATAGCTTCAAGCTCAAGGAAGTAGACGAGTTCTGCAAAACACGGTGAGCCACACAAATGGTGACAGCGAGCGGCAAACCAACCTGGCTGTCAAGCAGTCGTAGGGCTAACGCAGCGCCAGCTGGACGGTTGGTCGGTGCATTGTGGTGTTCGGCGTTGGCGCTTGAAGGTCGGGTCACGCCTTGGCAGTGCTGTGACGCCCGGCGCCGGGACCCGGACCGACGCTCTTTCCACGACCACCACGAACTACTCTCTTCCATCCCGAAACCGAGCTCCCACAAACTGGCAGCGTGGCCGGCCGGCCAAGGACTCTGGCTTCCAGCCCTCCGACAAGCATCAGCAGTAGTCTACTGCGACATTCTTACGGCGACCACCACTTCATTCCGCGCGGGTCCAGCCAGCTACGGGTTCCGATCACAACCGGCACGCCTCGCACAAGTGGAGATGGCGGCACCGTTTTGCGGAACACGGTGAGTGTCAGTCCGACTGGCCCGCTGACCGTCTTTGCAGCCGGCCCAGCTCTCGCAGCAGCAACCACCACCGGCAACGGCGAAACTCAGGCCAGGCGGCACACGGCGTCTGGCTTTCCCTCCATCTCACGACTACATACTGGGAGGCCTCTGCAACGGGCCGATCAGCAAACCCCCTCCTCCGACAACGGACTGGCCTCGGCGCAATAACGCGTTTCGGGCCAACGAGGCAACTTACCACCCGAGTCCGTTACGGCCTGCCTTTCTCTCCCAAATCCCGTTAGCGGCGCCGCCCGGGATGCCAGCGTGTTGTCTCTGGACATGTTCGGCGGCACCTGCGAAATCGGGGGGCTACAACAGTCAGGTTTGCCCACATTTGTCCGGGTTTGGTGACGAAACTCACAATTCATCAGTTGCTGGAGTTGGTGCGCAAAACTTCCTGCCCTGGCTCTTCAAGTGCTACGAAAATGATTGGCTATGCGGAAATTTGACTGAGTTGACATGAAAACTTACCTGCAAGCGACGCGATTGGCTGCCCGAGCGGCCCTAAATCGCGCTAAGCGGGAGGTTGTCTGCCGACTAAACTGGCAATAAGGATGATGAGTTGTGGGCAATTGCGAATAGGCAGGTTAGGTTGCTTTACTGACTTTGTGTCCCGACACCAGGCAATTCCTGGTCTTCTATCCGCACATCCGCCAAGCAACGACACCGACCCTAGTCAGCGCGGGACAAAGTCTGCGAAACCAGGTGAGTTGAGGGCAGATTTGACAAGTTATAATTCGCTCACGTTGCGCCCCAGTTAACACCAAAGGACATCGCCCTGTCGGTGTCTCCCTTTTCCATCCCCGCCCATCAACAGCAAACACAAGTCAAGTCCCATCGTCAAAAGCTCCAAGACCAAGCTGCCCCACACCGTTCTCAACGACGAGCCCGCCAAGATTGCTGTTACTCCCCGCCAAAGCCGCCAAGTTGCAGCAACGACAACGACAACTGCCTTCCGAACACGCACGCTACTCGCGCAAAGATGGCAAACAACTCCCCAGTCAGCAGTATCAAAAGCCAAGCTAAGCAGGTCCCGCAGCTGCCAAACTTGAAGTCGCACTTGAAACCGCGTCAATGGACTGCAAAAGTGACGACTATCCCGTTCCGCCTTGGGTGTTTTCGAGCGCGTCGGGCGGCGTTGACTCGCCCGCGTCAACAGAAACCCCGACGTTGTCGTTGTTGAAGGCGTCCAATGGAGCGATATGGTCGCTCTCGGAAGCGTATCAACAAACAAGTCAGCGGCAACAGTAACCACTCACTTGGGACGACCCCAACGATGACCACTCAAGTCCCACAACTGAAGTCGCCGCATCCAATGACTGCCTAGGTCGGAAAATCATGAAGCAGTAAGGAAGTTCTTCTCACGGGATCATTTGCGCTCGCCTGCTGGAGCTGCAATGGTGAGTGTGCGTACCAACAACGAGTTGGCATACTTACGTTTCAAAGACGAGGGATTGTGCCTTTGGTGTCGCTTGCGAGCTCATTCGCGCTCGCCTGTTTTAGCTTTAAATGTGAGCACGAACAGCAAAAGCAAGTTGATTTACTCACTGATTTGCGTCAGAGGCCTTCGATAGCGACAAACGAAGCAAGTCGATGACGAGGTAAGCCACCCTTCCAAGTAAATGAAATGTCAATTCACTTCCTTTTAGTTTCGTTTGCACGCTCGAAGCTCTACTGGTGGAATAGTTGAAGGAGCGCAAGTTGATTGAAGTTTGGTCAGTGGCTAATATAACGTTGTGATTAGAACTTCCAAACATGCAGGATAACTCTGACAATCGTCTTGTGTCAAGTATAGAAGACTACTTGCCTTCGGTTTGGCTTGCGGGCACAGTGTGGGACGGGACGAGGTCAGCGCAGGCAACTCCGACGAGCCGGGAGTCTAATGTGGTATATGCGCTCGACCCGTTGAGTCTTGACAAGGTATAAGCTCGATTGAATTCAAGTTGACACTAACTTACCTTCAGTCTGATTCGCAAGGATGGATGATGAATAGTCGAACGATGAGCTAGCAACAGATGTCAGTACACGTTATATTAGGTAGAAGGAATGGAATATTTTGCGCACCTTCAATTCCGCGTCACGGTGCCGTCACATACTCGTGACTCGCATCACTTCATCTTGTCCTTCATCCCAATCGTGCAAACGGCTAGCCTCGACTACCACAATGGCTCTACAACCCCGACGCATGGCCGTCTCAGAGCTAGGGAAACAGTGGGGAGAGGAATGGCCGCGGGTATTAAAGCGGTGAGTCCGGCTTAGCCCGAGGCACTTGGCCGTGCCGACCTCACCCTCTCCGGCGTAAACGGCAGCGTTTAACCACCACTTCCCCTCATCTGGCAACACACCAACTACTGGGTGCTCGAACCTGTGGCTATCTCCCTCGGCCAACGCCGCTCCCGCAAGACCCCACGTCCCAGACACCTCCGGAACCCACCGAATCAACTCTGCGAAGCCATCTTGGTCAGCAAACTGGGCGACAATGAGCAAATAGCTTACAAGGGGACGGGGGAGGCACTGGGCAGGGCAGGGCAGGGCAGCGCTGGGAACAACTGTGTTGTTCCTCGATGTTGAAGGCGACAGGCAGCGATTTGGTGTCGGTGGAGGGAGCGGGCAACGAATTGGGCTCGGGTGAAGCGGTTGAGGTCTGGAACGAGGTTAATGGGCCAAATGACGTTTTACGCAAAACTGACTATTTCTACAGCGAATGCAGAAGCAATCTCAGTCTGCGCAATGCCCAAACTGAGAGAGTCGGCCCGGCAACAAGCAAGAGTTGGAAGGAAGCGGCAAGCTCAATCAACAACGGCGACTCACCTTTAATATATCGCGCTTTACTAGTACCGTCTTCAACGCTGACAACAACCGCAACGTCAGGCCCACCTCCGACCTGTAAATCCGCACGGCCTTGACTGCAACGAGAGTCAGCAACAGCAAGCATAATCAACAACCGCAACTGACCTGTAACTTGGGCTTCCACATCGCGAACCTGCCTCCGTCGGAACAGGTATTTCGTCACTGAGAACAAGGTCAGCGAGTCCAAGTCAATGAATTTGCGATCCGCATGGCATCCTGGCAAAGGCCTTTGCTTCAACGGGCAAGAGTTCAGCAACAGCAAACACAATCAACAACCGCAACTCGCCTGTCATCGCAAGCCCGCCTCCTTCGACAACGTCAAAGACAATCCGTCAACCGACATAGGCAGTTGTCGCAAGGCCAGGCAGCCTGTTGGCAACTGCAGCCCATCTACAACGAGCACGAGTCAGCGGCAAGACAATCAATCAAGAACTTCAACACACCTCAAATCCGCCTCCGACTGTCCCTGCGACTGACCTGAAGCGACGCGCTCGTTGGAGGGAACATGTATATCGTCACTGAGAATAAGGTCAGTGAGTCCAAGTCAATGAATTTGCGACTGACATACCTTCAGTTTCGTTTGGGTGCTACGAGGACTGGGAAGGTGGAGGTGAACGACAAGGAAGGCGGAAGAGGTGGTAGATTGGAGAATAGACTATGTACAAGAAGTGAATATATGAGGGATGTTGGGAAAGATGCTGTGGAGGGAGGGGCTGTGGACACAGTCAAAGTGAAGGGGGAAAGAAGAGTATGCGCGTAATTTGATGTGAGCCAGCTTTTATAGACAGCGCGCAACTGCTACGTGGCAGTTGAACTCGACTGAAACATTTCCCAAGGTGATATCCATCCACTGGGGCTGTTACGCCGGGAGCGGTTGCTGTCGAGGGTGAAATACGCGAAATCACGTATTTCGCACTTCCAAGCAAACAGTGCACGCGGAGATGCGCTTCCCGTCCGATCCTCGCGGGCACATGTCAGGGGTGAGGGTGACATAAGATTCACACACGTTCGGCACAATCGGAAACGACGATGTGGTGGGAGAGTACTATCAGACTGAAAGGTAATGGAGGGAAACTGGAGGGTTTGAGACTGTGGATGGCGGGGATGGAGTGGTGGATAACATTTATAGATAGTGAACATCGTTTCCCACGCTTTAGATCTTCTGATCAAGGGCAGAGCACGGTACAACGAGCAATTGTTGTGCCCATTCCCTTTTTGGGATGTTATGTTCGTGGCCTTCAGTGAACGCTCAGAAAATCCTGGAGAGCCAAGTTAGATTTGAGACTAGTGGTGACAAGACTTGCGTGACAAAAGGACTCTGAGTAATGATTGGAAAAAAGACTAGGCGGTAGCGGCAAAACTGACACACTCGAACAAAAGGTACACAACGGCATAGGGCCAAAAGCCAGCCGAACAAAGATTCCAGGAAGATTAGCCTAAGCGGTATTATTTGTCGTATCACCCCTGTGCCGTATTTGGTTCCTGATGTCACCACAGGAACCTGACTCAGGGAACCGCTTAAGCTTGACTCGGGAACCTTGTACGCGCCTCGCCGATATGGCGCCATTATTCTTCGTTATTTTCCTTGGCTATCGGCGTTGTCACGCCGTGTCACTTGTTTTCTTCCCACCATCACGGAAAACTCACCGACGCGTCAACAGACGCGTACCTTTCTGATGGCACCATGTCACGCCTGGCCCAACGCGTCAACAAACGCGTTGCGACACGTGTGCCCTTCTGACGGCAGTCACGCCTCATTAGACCTTTCCTCAAAACCACCACCATGTCCACTTTTTCCCACTTTCTGCCCAGTCGCAGCCACCACTCGACGACAGCGACCACGTTCCGCCTGCATTGGAGGTAAGCACTTCACTTTTTACTTTTTCCCGTCGTCTTAGCGCTCTTTTGCTTTGCAGGACGTCACCTTCAGTGACTTCCTTGTTGCGGACTCGTCCAGCAGCGGCGCCGACTTTGTCCCTACCACTGCCCTAGCAACCCCCTCGGCTAGGACTTTGCCGCCAGCGGCGCCAACTTCATCACCACCCAAACATGGCTGCCCGACTATGTGCTGTGTATGTCTTCCTTTTATCACTCATGTCTATGTGGCTGACTCGTTGATGCAGGCCTTCGCTGCCAAAGGTGCTGACTTCACCACCAGAACTTGGCGACCTATTCAATTGCCAACTTGCAGGCCAGTGCCCCCCGAAAATGTGTGTCTTACTTGTCCGAGGGATGTTTCTCTGCTGACTCACACTTTGGTTCCCAACAGACAAATGCGCTCGGACGTTGCTGTTAGTGGCGCCGACTTCATCATTACCACCCAGCAACCATTGCCGCTTCACCACATGCCCTAGCAACCTCCTCCGGCGTTGAACGCGTGGTTAAGTTATGTTGCTTTACTGACTTCTGACTTGGAGATATTACTCGATGCCCAGTGAACAAATGCAGGCCCCGATGTAGCTGCCCGTCCTAAGGCTTAAACCTCACCCAAGATTGGTGCTCGGTATGTCCTGCTGAGTACTTCCTAGATACTGCGCTCACTTCCCGCAGGGCTGCCGCTGCACACGGTTTTGCGCGCCAAATTGGTGAGCATTTTGCGATTACGTAAGCACTTTTCGGCCTTATTTTTGCCTTCAAAATGACTTATTTTCTGCTAGATTTTGCCGCCAGAGGCGATGCATAACGGCCTGGACTCAATGTTCCGACTGATCAGCATGCAGTTAGTCCTCGGCTTCCTCACTTGATTCGGGGCTGATTTCCATGCAAGAATAGCGCCGGGCCGCGATGCCAGAGCTGCCGGCCGCGGATCCAATCATTGATCCGGATTTCCCGATGTATTTGGGGGTGCAATTTGGCTGCTCAAAAGCGCGCTAACTCGGCCCAATTTTCGCGGGGTTTTGCCGCCGGAGGCCAGAGTAACGGGTGGGCTAGCATCGTCGCGTTGGCAGCTGTTTGCTGCTGGTTTTGGTGAGTGATTCTGATTGCTCCAAAAGACTTGCTGACCTTTCGCGACAGCAGTCTGGCCTACCGTCCTCGATGCCAAAACCTGTGTTGATTGATAGACGCGTTCCGCGCGGCAAGGCCGCGTGGTCCACTCAGGCTGCACCGCTATAACAAGGTTTGTGTTCAATTTATTTAAGTTTTTTGTTCTCTGACCTTGTTTAGATTGATTCCCCAACATGCTCGTTCCCGTCGGAGCTTGCCTGCGGCGCTGTTATAGCCAACGCTGCCTTCATCACCACTGCCATCGACAATGGCCTCGCCATCGAGCATTCTGCTCCAGCAACGACGGTAGAGCCCTAGGTTTGTGATCTTCTCCTTTATTTGCATGCTCTCTGAATGTATCTATAGATAAACAATGCTTTGGGCACTCTCAACGCGCCAATTTTTGCTGGAGCGGACACTGCTCTCAAGGCTCACAACGTCTTGGCGGAGGACGCCACCCGCCATGATCCTTGGCCATCGTCTCTGCCGTAGTGCGCTATCAACGCCAACGTCAGGCCCGAGCGCCCTTCCTCCCGAAACCATTTATCCTTCCCCCGAACAGCAATCTCTCGCTGGAGCTGCCCTGAATTCGCTTCCTGCTCTCCGCAATACCAACTTTTTGCTGGAGCTCGCCTGCGGCGCCATTGCACTGCCAATACAATGCCTGGGAGTCCCGGCTTCCACTCTCGCCATCGCGTAAGTTTTGTACTGTTTCCATTTGTTTGAATACTTATTTCTTGTTCAGATGTGACTACACAGCCCAATAATGCCAGCAACTGCTTTCACGACTAGCTGCAAGCAAGTGCTATGCTCGCCAGCCTCGCTTCCCGCTCCCCGCAAGATCGCCTTTTCGAGACAAACCGTTACTACACAGCCCAAATCACGACAGCAACCGCTTCCTCATCGCTTCCCCCGAGCCTTTAAAATCTGTTCTTTACACCACTCATTTTTGCTGGAGCTCGCCTGCGGCGCGCTGTTGGGGACCGAGTCCATATCCTCAGCCTGGTCGGCAACACTTCCGCGACTTGCCAACGTCGATCTCGAGGCCATTTTCCTTCCTACCAACACTTATTTTTCGCTGGAGGCTGCCTGCGGCGCCGTTGGACCTCCACCGCCATGACTTTCGCACCATCCCGACTTGATCACCCAGCGCCTCGCTTCACACTCCCCATACACCAATCTTTCCGCCCAAGCTCCCTCACCAACACAAACGTCGCGACGATCCCGACTGAATCTCCCAACAGTTGCGACCGCGCTTATTGATGACAACGCCAACGACAATCCCGAGCCCATTTTCCCTCGCCGAAACACCAAACTTTTGCAGGAGCTCGCCTGCGGCGCCGTTGTTGACTTGCCCCAACCCAGCGGCCTTGCAACTGGGCACTTCCCCTCCAAAACTTGCCCCGGACCACCCATTTCTCGCGGGAGCTCCGCCTGCGGCGCGTTGGCCAAACCTCGAGCGTTGGTATCAGGAACGGCAAAGTCGCAGTCCGTTCCGACTGGAGCATAGGCCAGAGTGTGCAGCCCCAAACAATTAAGCCTGCGACGAGACCACCAGGACATTCGAGTTGCGTGATGAAAACGCGCGCGGGGGGTGGTAGACAATGGAGTTGGCACCGCTGCGGGGTTTGAGACTAACCATTACGACAACGGGAGGGAATGGGGGCCAAGGCACCGGAGAGGGTTACCGTGAGGGAAATCGGATCGGGAGCTACACGGGGATACTTGGTAGTTTTTTTTTTACGCGTCAAACGCGGTAGTTTACGCGTCGGGTAGCTTTGAGGAACTGCACTTACGCGTCAAACACGTAGTTTACGGCGTCGGATAGCTGTTTGTAGTGTAGGATGTTTGTTTACACGTCGGATAACCTGTAAAAAATTTTGTCTTTTGGTGCATAAAATAAGAGCGCTCGCTGCGAGCCTTAGCGAGCTGCGAGCCTTAGCGAGCTGCGAGCCTTTGCGATGGGTGAGTCAAGCGTTGAGGTGGACAGCGGAGGGAATCAACGTGCGGATGCAGGTGGAGCGGCGGCGGCGTCGGACGCGTTCATAATTCAATTTTCAAGGCGAAACTGCCCCACTCGATTTCTCTTCCACCGAGATTGTCGTCCTGCCAGCAAACGCAGGCCCCGATGAGCCCGTCACCGTCTGTTTCTTCTGGCCCGGCTCAAAAGAGGTGTTGACGAAGATGCCGGGCTATCCTCAGCCCTTACGCACGGTGTCCAAACCCACGTTCCGAGTTGGAGAGGCGGGAAGCAAGGGGCTTGGTCTTTTTGCTGCTCGTGCTCTCGGTCAAGGAGAGCTTATCATCGATGAGCGGCCATTGCTCATCAGCGTTCGCGGGGTGCCCGTCGCAGTGGACCCCCTCACCCCCGATGAGATCACCGCCGTCTGCGACGCGGTGAGGTTGTACACCGCGACCAACACGGATGTCAGGACACTCAAGCTCATGACCTGCTATTTGTTGCCGCCCCCGAAGAAGGTCAATCACGGTCAGGCGTAATCATCCATGGGACTCATATGCAAAGGCTGTTTTGGCGCACCTTGCCATACCTATAGCCCCTGGTCGGAAACCGGAGCAGCCGGTGCCCATAACGCGAAAGGCGCAAGTCGACGTGTGTCCGCTTTTGACTATCGTAGCCCGAATACTGACGGTATGAAGTTTCAAGATGTCGCTTCAGGGTGTGTTGTTTTGCACCATCTTGACACAAGACTTATACTCCCAAGGCGGCATTACAACAGCATTTTGTCACTACGAGAAGGCACATGGATGGTTGACTTGCTGGATCTCCTTGAAGATGGTCTCCAGCCAGCCATTCCGCCGGAAGAGCAACTTCGGTGCGAGGTTGTAGTTAGAGCAGACCCACGGGTCCAGCAATTTGCGAAGGACGTTGGTACGATTCCACCCTTGAGTAGCTTCTGATCTTAAAAACGCCATAGGGGTGCTTCCCGAGGAGATATTTTGCGAATCGTGGGCCATTGGCTACGACGACCGTTTCCCACCGACACAGCGGCTGCAACAAGGACTCATGTTCGCGCGCTTCTCGCAACACGACAATCTGTACGCCCATCCAATGGTATGTGGTTTTAACATCTTGTTTCCTGCCGTCAAAACATTCCAGGATTTCACGATAATATACGACTCCATCGCTGAGAAGGTCATTCATATCGAGTTTCCACCGCACTACAAGGATGGACTTGTCTCGTCAAATCCAGATACCAGCCCCCCGGATCTTCAACTTGACCCGCTAGTAGTTTCCGGACGAGAGCGCGTTCCTCCTCCCCGCAAAGCATTTGATTTCCTGCCAGACTTGATGGCTGCGGCAGACAAAGACTTCAAACAACGCGATGACCTCAAGCCGCTGCACATATTGCAACCGGAGGGCGTCAGCTTCCGGCTTGATGGGCAACAACTGGAGTGGCAGAATTGGAAGATGCATATTGGTATGTCTGTTTCCTTTTCCCGAATCGATGCCTATTGTCTGCAGCGTTTCACCACCGCGAAGGCCTTGCGCTGTCGACCATCACCTACAATGACCACGGTGAGGTGCGCCCGCTGTTTTACCGCCTTTCGTTATCGGAGATGGTGGTCCCATATGGGGCGCCAGAGTACCCGCACGGGCGGAAATCTGCTTTCGACGCGTGAGGTTGCCCACAGACCCGTTACTCCATCTCATTCGCCGTAGTGGAGAGTATGGAATGGGCATCATGGCCAGTGAACTGTCTCTTGGATGTGATTGCCTGGGCCAGATTCATTACATGGTACTCCTTTTTTATCTTTCACCAGACATTTTGCTCAAGCTCTTGCAGTCCGGCACATTTGTCAAGCACGACGGAACAGCGGAGGTTATCCAGAATTGCATTTGCATTCACGAAGAAGATGCTGGTGTGCTGTGGAAACACACTGATTTCCGTCCTGGAGGAAGAGGACAGACCGTTCGCCGCCGGCGCTTGGTCGTCAGCATGGTTTGCACATTGGCCAACTATGGTTTGCATGATGTCATCGTTTTCACCCCCGCTAACTTATCACTAGAGTACATCTTCAACTACATGTTCTACCAAGACGGGACAATCGAGCTTGAGATCCGCATGACTGGCATATTACAAGTATATGTTGCCCCCGATGGAGAACAGCCGCTGTTGTCAGGGGAACCTCCCTTTCGGCCCGGAGACGCGCCCGATTCCGGTCCGACTCCGGTTCCGACTCCGGTCCGGCCCTCCATCTCGCCCGCACAATCACCGATCCGTCAACGCCCTCCCGACGGTCGCCCTGGGACCTCGCCTGCGACGCCGCCCAAGCCTTCTGTGCCCGACAGCGGCAGCTACGGACAAGCAGTATATAGTCAGCTACCTAGCAGGCGGACCCTTAGAGTTTCTTCTCTTTGGATCCTCCCCTGCTAGGTCAGCTTCATTTGTATTCGCTTACCAATGTTCACGCTTTGGATCCTCCCCTGCTAGGACCTTGATCTCAGGCCTCCGGGGTTGCCCTTACAGCAGAAGAAACTCTCTACGGGATCAACCGGACAAGATTGCCAGGTTCGGCGCTGACTCAGGCTCGGAGTACGAGTCCGTTCCGCCCTCGTCACCGCCCCTGCCACTTGTCCCCTCCTCCTCTACTCCTGTGGTCCCCGCACCCGTCATGCCGTCCGGAGTCACTCCTACCGCAGACGCCCGGCTGGACTCACTCGAGGCGAAAATCGATAGCCTAACTGAGGCCCTTGCTTTACTCACCAACCAGGCTTCCGCTGCCGCTGCCGCCGCTAATAATGCTGGCGGACCCCAAACACCATCGCCGGAGACGTCGATTCCGACTCCGACTCCGGTCCAGGGCGACTCCGAAGCCCTTTTTGGCGACATCAACCTCGCCTCAAAATTGGTCTTACGACCAAACCCCCCGTCACCTTCAACGGCGACCGGAAACGCGGCCGCGCGTTCCTCTCGGTTCGCACCTACGCCCGCCTTGCCCCTGAGGCCTTCGTGGTCAACGGAGAGGCGAGCGAGGAAAAAGGCTGTCCGCTATGCCATGTCGTTTATGGCAGAAGGACCCGCTCAGCAATGGGCGGAGCGCCACGGAAGCAAAGCCCCGTTTCCGTTTCCGTCCTGGGGCTCGTTCGTTTCCGAAGTTTCGACTCCGGTTCGTCGAGGAGAACGAGCAAGATCACGCTCTCTCCAAGCTGGAGACTTCCGCCTATCACATGGGCACGAAGGATGTCTACCAGTACACCGACGACTTCGAGGACCTGATGGACCTCGCCGGATTCGAAGACGCGCTGGTCAAGGTGACCAAGTTCCGCCACGGACTTGACCCCTTGATCAACAACGGAATCACGTCCTCGAACGACCCCCGGACCTCCGGGATTACCTTAGCTGGCGCACCCGGGCCTTCCGTCAATATGAGGCCCTGGTCCGGGCCAAGCTGATCAAGTCAGCCGCCCCCAAGACGCCTGGCGGTTTGATTCGGACTCCGTTTCCGGTCAACCGCATCCCGGCTCCGGCTCCCTTCCGCCCGGTGGTTCCGGTCGTACCACCCTGCCCGCGCCCCGCTCCGGCGCCTCCAGCTCCCGTCCCTATGGAGTTGGATCGCACCAGGGCTCGGGGTGCCCCTCGTCGCGCCTGCTTCAGGTGCGGCGACCCAAACCATCTCGCCCGGGATTGCCCCCCTCCCCCGATGTCCGCCCGATGGACATCCTCGACGAGGTGATCCAACAACTCGGGTGACGAGATGTTAGCGGAGTTGATCGCCCGCTACACGGACACAGCTGCCCTGCCGGAGACGGCAGCGGAGTCGATGGCCGGAGAGGATTTTGTCCCCCGCGACGAGTGACTGGTGTGCCCTCGTTCGCGTCTATAAATCGTTTTGCCTCTTTGTATGATGAATGCAGTTCCTTGCCCTACAATGAGCCCGAAACGAAAGACACACCCTCTCCTGCCCCCGCCTCGACTCCGTCCCCGACTCCGCCCGCGACTCCGGTCATCGTCCTCCGCCGCCTCACTGCCTGGGAAAAGAAACTGCCCAAGCAGTACACCGTTGCCGCTGCCCCTGGGGCGAACTCCCTCCACCTCCCGTTAGAGCTCGAGTCCACCACCAGCGCACTGAAGCTCTCGCTCTCTGGGCTTGTCGACTGTGGTGCCACCTCCGACTTCATTGACACGAACTATGTTGCTCGGAATGGCATTCCGGTCCGCACTCTTGATCAGCCGATTCCGGTTTTCAATGTCGATGGCACCCCCAATGACGCTGGCTCCATCAAACAGATCGCGGACTTGGTCCTGCGCTACAAGGGCCATGCCGAACGAGTTCAGCTGGCCGTCACCCATCTTGGCAAGCAAGACCTCATCCTGGGGTATTCCTGGTTGCGGAAACATAACCCAGAGATCGATTGGGAAACCAAGGAGGTCAAGATGACACGGTGCCCCGCAATTGCTCGACCTGCCGTGAGGAAGAGCGGGTCGAACGGACTGAGTTGCGGCGACTCCGGTCGCTTCAGAAGCGTCTCCGCTCCGGCCCGTTCCCCTCGGTCTGCGCCATGGACCTTTCTGGGTCTGATGACGGAGACGATTCCGTCTCCGGTGACGACCCGGCCTGCCTGATCTGACGCCGGACTCCGACGACGACGATGACGATGGTCAGCTTGAAGATGGTGACCGCATCTTCTACACCTCCTCGTTCCGCCCCTCGGAGGAGATACGCGCTGGCAGTACTGTCTCGCAACGCCTGGCCGAAGCCTTCGCCAGGAACTCCGCCCCTCCGCCCTCCGAGATCCCGGACTGGGCTAAGGAGTTCCAGGACGTCTTCAACAAGGAGTCCTTCGACACGCTACCGAACGGAGAGCCTGGGACCACGCCATTGAACTCGTCCCCGACGCTAAGCCCACCAACTGCAAGGTGTACCCCATCTCGCCCCTCGAGCAACGCGAGCTCGACGCGTTCATCGAGGAAGGGCTTTCGACGGGCCGGATTCGCCCCTCCAAGTCTCCGATGGCGTCTCCGGTCTTCTTCGTCAAGAAGAAGGACGGCGGACTCCGCTCGTCCAGGACTACCGTGCTCTCAATGCGATGACTGTCAAAAACCGGTACCCCCTTCCGCTGATCAACGACCTCATCAACCGGCTCAAAGGCGCTCGTTACTTCACCAAACTCGATGTCCGTTGGGGCTTTAACAACGTCCGGATCAAGGAAGGTGACGAGTGGAAAGCGGCTTTCCGGACTAACCGAGGCCTGTTCGAGCCCTTGGTGATGTATTTCGGCCTGACAAACTCTCCCGCGACGTTCCAAACGATGATGAATGACATTTTCCAGGACCTCATCCTCTCCGGAGACGTCATGATCTACCTTGACGACATCTTGATCGCCCATTCCGACCTCCGGAAACACCGGCAGATCGTTCAGGAGGTCTTGCGGCGACTCCGAGAGCACAAGTTGTACCTCCGAGCGGAGAAGTGCGACTTTGAAAAATCGTCAATCGAGTACCTCGGAGTCATCATCTCCCACAACCACGTCGAAATGGACCCCGTCAAGGTCGCAGGCGTCTCCGCTTGGCCGACTCCGGAAAACAAGAAGGACATTCAGCAGTTCCTTGGGTTCGCTAACTTCTACCGCAGGTTCATTCGGGACTTCTCGACCCTTGCGCGCCCTCTCTTCGTGCTCACCAAGAAGGACCAGCAATGGACTTGGGGCGACGCGGAGGCCTCCGCGTTCCAAGCGATCAAGGACGCGGTCACCTCGGACCGGTCCTGGCGATTCCGGACGACGCACGGCCTTTCCGACTCGAGGCGGACAGCTCTGATTATGCGACGGGGCGGTTCTTTCACAATCCGCCCCGGACGGGAAGTGGCACCCTGTAGCATTCTATTCCAAAAGCTTAAATGATGTCCAGCGCAACTACGAAATCCACGACAAGGAGATGCTCGCGATCATCCGCGCACTCGAGGAGTATAGACACTTCCTCGAGGGCGCCGCGCACCTGTCGAGATTTGGACTGACCATAAGAATTTGGAGTACTTCAGGAAGACGCAGCACCTCAACCGGAGACAGGCCCGGTGGTCTCTGTACCTCTCCCGGTTCGACTTCACGCTGCACCACAAGCCTGGCCGCGATATGGGTCGGCCTGACGCCCTCTCCCGGAGACCCGACCACGGAGTCGATTCCGACAACTCCGACGTCGTCCTTCTGCGGCCTGAACTCTTCCACGTCCGCGCACTCGAGGGCGTTTCCGTTTCCGGTCCCGGCTCTGAACTCCTCCGCGACATCCGTGATGCCCTCTCCGGTGAGCCTGACCTGGAGGAGCCCGTCGCACTAGCGGCCCGGCAACTTCTTAAGGTTCAAGGTCAAGCTCGAGGCCCCCGCTCCTCACGTTCTGACGAATGGGCCGTCTCCGGCGGTCTTCTCCATTTCCGAGGAAAGATCGTCGTACCAAAGGACAAGGACCTCCGGAGACGCATCATCGAGCTCTGCCATGACACCCGAGTCGCCGGACACGCAGGTCGTTTCAAGACCCTGGAGTTGGTCTCCCGGAACTACTGGTGGCCTCAGATGTCTCGCCATATCGGCCGGTATGTTGCGACCTGTGACTTGTGCTGTCGCACCAAGGCACTCCGGAGACTGCCCCACGGAGAACTGCACCCCACGGAAACGCCCCGAACGCTGGCATACCGTCTCCGTCGACTTCATCGTAGAGCTTCCCGAAGCCCATGGGTACGACGCGATCATGGTCGTCGTTGACACCCCCGGAAACGCGCCCACTTCTCAGAGTGTCATACGACGGTCGATGCAGTAGGGGCAGCCCGTCTCTACTACCGGAATGTCTGGCGGCACCATGGGACTCCGGAGAAGTACGTCTCCGACCGCGGCTCGCAGTTCATCGCGGACTTCACCCGAGACCTTTGGCGTCTAATCGGCATCAAGCCCGCCACGTCCACCGCGTACCACCCGCAGACAGACGGTCAGACAGAGCGCGTCAACCAGGAGCTGGAGCAGTACTTGCGGATCTTCACCAACTACCAGCAGGACGACTGGGATGAGCTGATTCCGGCCGCGGAGTTCGCCTACAACAACCACGTTCACTCCTCCACGCAGCAGGTCCCCTTCATGACGGACACGGGACGGCTCCCGCGCATGGGCTTCGAACCCGGAGTCCGTTCCGCCATGGAGTCAGTGAACGAGTTCCGCGACCGGATCGCCACTGGTGTTGCTGAAGCCAAGGCCGCGCTCACTAAGGCCAAAGAGGAGTACAAGCGCTACTACGACCGGAGACGGACTCCGTCTCCGGAGTTTAAGGTTGGCGACCGTGTTTGGCTGGATGCCTCTGACATCAGGACGACTCGCCCCTCGGAAAAGTTCTCCCATCGCCGCCTTGGACCGTTCAAGATAGTCGCGGAGATCAGCAAAGGTGCCTACAAGCTCGACCTCCCTCCGCTACTCGAAGCTCCACCCGGTCTTCCCCGTCGTCAAGCTCGAGCTCGCCCAGGACGACCCCCTTCGACGGACGCCCCGGCTATGACCAACCCCTCCGGACCTCGAGGACGGAGTCCCGGAGTGGGAAGTAGAGGAAATCTTGGACGCAAGGGTGAGGTATAAACGGCTGAATTACTCGTCAGATGGAAAGGCTACGACGCGGCCGCACGACCAGTGGGTCCGCTTCGACCGCGTCTTCGCCCCGGAGAAAATCGCGGAGTTCTATCGTAAGTACCCTGGCAAGCCACGACACATCGCCTCCGCGACCTTCGACTCGATTCCGTTCCGGTCTATGCGTCGGGACGCCGCATTCAAAGGGGGGTGATGTCAGGGGAACCTCCCTTTCGGCCCGGAGACGCGCCCGATTCCGGTCCGACTCCGGTTCCGACTCCGGTCCGGCCTCCCATCTCGCCCGCACAATCACCGATCCGTCAACGCCCTCCCGACGGTCGCCCTGGGACCTCGCCTGCGACGCCGCCCAAGCCTTCTGTGCCCGACAGCGGCAGCTACGGACAAGCAGTATATAGTCAGCTACCTAGCAGGCGGACCCTTAGAGTTTCTTCTCTTTGGATCCTCCCCTGCTAGGTCAGCTTCATTTGTATTCGCTTACCAATGTTCACGCTTTGGATCCTCCCCTGCTAGGACCTTGATCTCAGGCCTCCGGGGTTGCCCTTACAGCTGTATGGGACCCTCGTTGCGCCGAATATCAACGCTCAGTTCCACCAACACATCTTCTCCATCCGTGTGGACCCGATGATTGACGGGCTCAATAACTCGCTTGTCGAAACGGATATAATGGCTTCGCCTTTTCCCGCTGGGTCTACCGAAAACTTTGCTGGAAATGCGTTCATTACAAAAGACACTGTCCTGACGCGGGAATCGGGCCGCGACTTGCCGCCGCCTGGGGTCGAGCGGCGGTGGCGGATTGTTAACCGGGGCAAGCAGCACTACAGTACCGGCAGCGATGTCGGGTATGCCATGAATATCAAATCCGGGCGGGGTCGAAGCTTATGACAGCCCATGACGGGTGGGTCGGGAGGCGGGCAACGTTTGCGAAGAAGCCGGTCTGGGTGTGTCGTGATGTCGAGGGTGTGAAGGGCGGCCGGATGTGGGCAGCAGGGAACTATGTCCCGCAGACGAAGCAGGCGCCGGAGGACTCGATTGGGGAGTGGGTGAAGGGGGAGGAGAGCATCGAGGACGAGGATTTACTCGTGTTCCTGACGATTGGTAAGCGAATTCGACTATCCTGTTCAACTCTTCTGAGCGGACACACAGGCGCGACTCATATTCCGCGACCAGAAGATTGGCCAGTGTAAGGTTTTTTCAACTATTTTCGTTGGCAATTGTCTCATAGGAGTCGCAGGATGCCTGTCGAGCATATCAACATCAACTTTAAGCCAGTTTCATTCTTTGCATGCAATCCCAGTATGGATGTTCCTGGTGTCCATGACCCCACGAGCGTCCTTGCTTTTACCCCGGATCCAAGCAACAGGAATCAACCCTGTCATTAACCGCGGATTTTTTTATTTGCACTCTGAATAGATTTTTTGTCCTTTTACAACTTGAGCATTGAGAAAAAAGTTTAGATGCCTTCGTTCTTGTAAAAGGACGGAGAAGTGAAGTTTTTTCTTTGCTGGTGTCACGGTTACGTAATTGTTTTTCTTTCCTTTCGACCACGTATTGCAGGTGGAACATTGTCTGTATAAGCGCTGCCAACTGCTTGGAATGACTACTTGACGCGGGCCGCGCGAAAGAAGGAATATGGGCACGCCGACGTAAACAAAGTAATCTTGTGGACAAAAGAAGCATCCGCCTTGTGTATTAGGCTTTTCGTCCCCTACTGTACCATGAAGCGGGGGTTCCTCAACAGTGCGAAGTCAAAGGCCATCCGCCTTGGCTCTGACGCAGGCTACGGCTCCAGCAGTATGTTCTTTGCGTTGTGCCGCCCACACTTGGTTCATCTGGTTGTCCTAGGCACAATCGGTGCACCGTCGATGCCAACCCCAGATCTCTCCTCCAGTGGCACTGAGACAGTCATCCTGCCGGCCAATGCAGCCCCTGACGAGCCCGTGACCGTTTGTTTCTTCTGGCCCGGCTCGAAAGAGGTGTTGATGAAGATGCCGGGCTATCCCAAACCCTTGCGCAAAGTGTCCGAGCCCACCTTTCGAGTCGGTGAGGCTGGCAGCAAGGGCCTCGGCCTGTTTGCGACGCGTGCTTTGAGCCAAGGAGAGCTGATCATCGATGAACAACCGTTGCTCATTAGCGTTCGCGGGGTCCCTGTGGCGGTGCCGGCGATGCTTAATCAGGAACAGACGACCAAGTACCAATTGAGAGAGTTTGAGAAGTACCTGGAGGTGGTGTTGAAGAAAATGCGGCCTGCGGATCGGGAAGCTTTCATGTCTCTTGCGAATAGCCATCTAACTGATGGATCAGTGAGTATTGACTTATATTTCTGTCGCGACACTCAAGTGTTGACCCAGGGACCCATTGCTGGCCGTATTCGAACGAATTCTCTCGGTCTGGATGGACTCTGTCCTGCTATGACTGGCCCGATGGCACAGTATAGCTCTGTCCCGCATTATATTTCGCGCATGAATAACAGGTCAAGTCGTATGACTAATATTTCTGTCTCCCTTTGCTGAAATTCTACTTCCAGTTGCTCACCCAATACAACCTCCAATTTTCACGACGCGTCGATTTCTTATACGGTCTATGCAGCGCGCGACATTGCGGAAGGCGAAGAACTGACGCTGTCCTACTCCGACGTCTGGGACACCGCAGCCAACCGGCAACAGACTTTCAAGCCATACGGTTTCGTCTGCGCGTGTGATGCGTGTCGTGACCCCATCAGCTCCGACCGTCGGCGCGCCAAAATTCGCGCGTTTGTTCCGTCTGTCCGGATGTGGGCCGTCAACCGGTCGCTGCCTGATGACTGGCTCATCAACAAGTGCCTCGAGCAAATAGCGCTGCTGGAACAAGAGAAGCTCGAGGGCGAAGTCGCATTACCATGCCGCGATTAACGCCATCATGGAGGTGTATATCTGTCTGGGCGATTCGCCCAAAGTGCGAAAATGGGCAGCACGTGCCCGCAAATGCCCGTGGGCGGCAACTCTTGAGAGTCTGGATGTGATGATTGCCCTCAAGTCGCATGACGGACACCCGCTGTGGCGCATGCGCGTCGAAAAGTGAGAAGGAGGCTTGATCAAAGCAGCTAGCAGGACGATGCATAACTTGCTGTTGTTCTGCAACGAATCAACAATTTGTACAACACTGAAGTATCTTGCCAAACTTGCTGGACTCATCATATAACTTCGAGTCGTTCTCGTGATCCTTTTAAAGTAGTTTGCAAGTATTGGTGGTACACTATGCCGAGTGAATGACTTAGCTCAAGCGTGGGCGTTTGCTCGGAAATGGACAAACACAGAAAGAAGGATGACTGTTTGTTGACTGCCAGTGTTTGATCAGTCACGACCCGACGACTGGCGGAACGGGGTCAAACCTCACGTTCGACCACCACTCCCGAGCCGACCATCTAGCAACAGCGAAGCCAACAAGAAAAAGTCAACACAACTGCAACGAATAGCGCAGCACACCAGCCCGCGCGAGGAACGGATATTCCCATTCCTCACAGCCCCGTGGCGGCGAACAGCAGCGGACTTCGATGGTCGGTTGACAATCCAAGGCACAGAAGGACAGGAGAAGGAGAAAGCTGCCAAAGAACATGACAAACGAGCCGAGTGGCTCTCTCTTTCTGACACCCACCTACTGATCTACACAGATGGTTCCTTGGGGAAATACACAAGACAAGACGAGTAGGAGCTGGAGTCGTAATATATCGAGGAGGGGAGGAGGTATTCACACACTCAAGCGGTCTAGGCGGACATGCAGAGGTATATGATGGGGAGATAACGGCCCTGTTGTTTGCAGCGGGCAAAGCGACGGCACTCTCGGGACAAGACGCAACCATCAAGCATCTGCACTTTTTTGCCGACAACACGTCAGCGATTAAGACGGTGTTTGAACCCAAACCACGACCAGGCCAACTCCAGGCACACATCTTCCACCAAAGGATTTGCAAGTTCCTCGACGACGACCCAGAGCAAATGGTGGAGATCTCATGGTCCCCTGGACACTGCAACATCGCAGGGAACGAGGCGGGCAGATGAGCTGGCAAAACGAGGGACAGAGATGGCGACAACAAGCAACGGGACACGGGCGAACGCGCTCAGAAGGGCGAAGGAGAGGGGTCCAGAAGGAGTGGGTCAGAGAGTGGAAATCAACGCCAAAGCGAGGACACTACGCAATCGCAAATCGGTTCCCGCCGTCAACAAAGCCCACGAAGCAGTTCATGGCATTAGATGGGAAAAGAGAGGTTTTTGGGAGGGTAGTACAGTGTCGAACAGGACACTGTTTCTCAGGCGAGTACTATGCCCTCCGCGTACCATCCGAGAGCGTTGACTGCCCCTGTGGCGAACACGAGCAGACCCGCGAGCACATCATATGCGAGTGCCCCCGCTACGAGCAACACCGCAATATCTTGCGGAAGGCATCGCGAAGCCTGTCACTCCCGCAAATTCTCGGGACACACCAAGGCATAATGGCGCTAGCAGATTTCTTGGAGAAGAGTGGCGCGTTCACCAAAACGGGGTACCCACACGCCCCAACATCCCTCCCCACCTTCGACAACGAGCCAGATCCACCTGAAACGGACGACGAAGAGGAACAAGAGTAGCGCCGAGCGCTGAACAAGTTGGACCAGCTCCCAGCGGGCACTTTATTTATTTATTCTCTATGCTACATGCTCCATGCTTTACGGCCCGACGCCAACAACCTCGCAGGACTGCACAGCTAGTCCAGACCATGTCAAACCCTCCCCGCCATTCGCTACACCTCATCCAGACCGAAACCAATCCCGCCGCAACACCCTGTCGAGCGGCCAGACGGATCCGCCGTCCCGGCCACCGCGTCTTAGTAGTTAGTGTACTTGTTGCGGTATATAAATGCAGATACAAAAAAAAAAAAAAAAAAAAAATGATCAGTCACGTTTCTGGGTATTACGTAACGAACCGCACGACTTTTGCATTCTGACCACGTCTGACCACGCCTGACCACCCACTCCAGACCATGATGCTTGCTCAGTGCTTCCACGTCCTCGACACTCCACATCACGTCCAGACTTGCGATGACTGCTCGAAGCGGGCTGGAAGCACCAAAGAAGAATGGGGCACGTGCGGCCAAGCAGGAACTAGGCAACCTTGTGAACAAGAAGAAGCATCCATCGCGCCTCTCGTCTTTCACGTCCCCTCACCATGATACGAGGCTTTCTCGACGGCGCGGCTGCGCTCCTTAGCTATGGCTTCCGCGGTGCGTCTTTTTTGTGCGGTTTCGTTGTTTTATAATCGGGGTTTCTTAGGCACAGCTGCTGCATCCTGTTTCTCTTCGACGGAAACTGTTGTCCTACCAGTCAATGCGGCCCCGGATGAGCCCGTAACCGTCTGTTTCCTCTGGCCCGGCTCAAAAGAGGTGCTGATGAAGATGCCGGGCTATCCTCAACCTTTAAGTAGGGTGTCCGAACCCACATTTCGAGTAGGCGGGTCTGGAAGCAAAGGCCTTGGTCTGTTTGCCGCTCGTGCTCTCAGTCAAGGAGAGCTTATTATCCACGAACGGCCGTTGCTCATTAGTGTTCGCGGGGTCCCTGTGGCTGTGCCTGCGATGCTTGATCAGGAGCAAACGACGAAATATCGGCTGAAGGAGTTGGAGCGACACCTGGAGGTCGTGGTCAAGGAAATGCGACCTGAAGATCGGGATGTTTTTATGTCCCTTGCGAATAGTCATACAACTGATGGATCGGTGAGCAGCCACGGTTCTTTCGCGATACTGCAACTGATATTGCTTTAGGGCCCTATAGCTGGTCGAATCCGAACGAATTGCATCAGTCTGAATGGACTCTGCCCTGAGATGAGTGGTCCGATGGCGCAGTACAGCTGTGTCCCCGCGTTATATCGCGCGCATGAATAACAGGCACGCTTCCTCTTAGGTTTTTTGTCTCCCTGCTGATATTCTAATCCCCGTAGTTGCTGTCCCAATACCACCACCATTTTTCACGAAGCGTCTATCTCCTACACGGTCTATGCAACGCGGGACATTGCGAAAGGCGAAGAACTGACGCTGTCCTATTCCAATGTTTGGGACACTGCAGCGAACCGTCAACAGACTTTCAAGCCATATGGATTTGTCTGCGCGTGTGATGCTTGTCTCGACCCCGTCAACTCTGACTGTCGTCGCGCCAAAATTCGCTCATTCATCCCAAATCTACAGTTGTGGGCCGCCAGCCGGTCTTTGCCTGACGACTGGCTCATCAACAAGTGTCTCGAACAAATTGCGCTTATCGAACAAGAGAAGCTCGAAGGCGAGCCTCATTACCACGCTGCTATCAACACTATCATGGAGGCGTATATTTGTTTGGGCGATTCGCCCAAAGTGCGAGAATGGGCAGCACGCGCACGGAAATGCCCGTGGGCGGACAGCATTAAAAGCTTGGATGCCCTGACTGCCCTGGAGTCACATAGTCGCCACCCATTGTGGCGCGCGGCGCGGATTAATGAGAATCTAAAGGGTTGCGGGTCATAATGAAGGTGGAGGAGCGTAAGTTTTTTTTTAGTAGCAACAATTGGACAACAGTGACCAACAAGTATCTTTCTCCACGACCGGTGTGGACGTGCTTCGTGGCGAACTCCTGAGACCCCCTTGAAGACAACGACAATGCGATTTGGCTCAGTCACAAGCTTGAGCGCTTGGGCTCTTGATCCCGGTGGCTCTCGTGGAATATTGTCGTACATAGGCAACCGTTCCAAAGTTTGTGGAATGCTTCATAGCATTGAGATGGCGTACTGTTCAAGCACAGGCAATGAAGGACTTCGTCCGGCTTAGATGACACTAGAGAACTGTATAAGTACTTGTGCTGTTGTGCCTTTCGTTCGTTCTACAGTCACATGAGGAATTTCAAGTGTTACGTAACAAATGTCTTTTGCATTCCAACCATGCACTTCAGGTGGATTATACATGCTTGCAAGTCCCCAACATTTTGCGGTGACTACCGGCACACCAAAGAAGCAATGGGTACTGGCACGCCAAACGTAAACAAAGCAACCTTGTGGACAAAAAGAAGCACCCCACCCATCCGCCCTTAGTCTTTTTCACCCCCACCATGATACGAGGTCTTCTCGACGGTGCCGCCACGCTCCTTGGCTATGGCGCCAGTAGTATGTGTTTGGTGTGGTCAAAATGCGTTCATAATTCAATTTTCAAGGCGAAACTGCTCCACTCGATTTCTCTTCCACCGAGATTGTCGTCCTGCCAGCAAACGCAGGCCCCGATGAGCCCGTCACCGTCTGTTTCTTCTGGCCCGGCTCAAAAGAGGTGTTGACGAAGATGCCGGGCCTCAGCCCTTACGCACGGTGTCCAAACCCACGTTCCGAGTTGGAGAGGCGGGAAGCAAGGGGCTTGGTCTTTTTGCTGCTCGTGCTCTCGGTCAAGGAGAGCTTATCATCGATGAGCGGCCATTGCTCATCAGCGTTCGCGGGGTGCCCGTCGCAGTGCCCATCTGGTATAGTCAGGAGCAGACGACAAAATACCAGCTGAAAGAGTTTGAGAAGTACCTAGAGGTGGTTTTGAAGGAAATGCGGCCTGCAGATCGGGATGCTTTCATGTCCCTTGCAAACAGCCATACGACCGATGGATCAGTGAGTTGTCACTCACATTTCTTTCTTTTGTGTTACTAACTCGTCTTGTTGCAAGGGACCTATAGCTGGTCGAATCCGAACGAATAGCATCGGTCTGGATGGACTCTGCCCTGAGATGAGTGGTCCAATGGCACAGTATAGTTCTGTCCCACATTTTATTTCGCGCATGAACAATAGGCACGGCGTCCTATCATCTTTCTCTGATACTCTTACAGTTGCTGTCCCAATACGAGCACCAACTTCCACGACGCGTCTATCTCCTACACAGTCTATGCAGCGCGTGACATTGCAGAAGGCGAAGAACTGACGTTGACTTAGATGACTGGCTCATCAACAAGTGTCTCGAGCAAATGGCGTTGCTAGAGCAGGAGAAGCTCGAGGGCGAGGCGCAGTACCACGCCGCCATCAATGCCATCATGGAGGCATATATTTGTCTGGGAAATTCTCCTAAAGTGCGCCATTGGGCGGCACGGGCACGGAAATGCCCGTGGGCGGCAAGTATTGAGACCTTGGATGTGCTGATTGCCCTCAAGTCGCATAGTCGCCACCCGCTGTGGCGCATGCGGGTCGACAACAAGCCAAAGGGAGAAATGGCGTCGCAGCTCAAGCGGTTGGCGGCACTCGCGGGCGGGGCGGACAACGGAAGAGGGCTCATAATGTTTGCAGGAGCTGTAAGGGCAACCCCGGAGGCCTGAGATCAAGGTCCTAGCAGGGGAGGATCCAAAGAGTGAATAGAAGTAAGCAAATACAAGTGAGGCTGACCTAGCAGGGGAGGATCCAAAGAGAAGAAACTCTAAGGGTCCGCCTGCTAGGTAGCGGAACTATATACTGCGCTCTTGACGCCGCCAAGGTTGATCGTTGCTCCGTGCAGTATGCCTGCGCCATGTCGCAGGCCAGGTCCCAGGGGGATCGCCAGGCGGGGGCGGCGATGCGCCTGACGGAGGCGGTGATGCGATCACCGGAGTCGGAACCGAGTCGGACCGGAATCGGGATCGTCTCCGAGGGGCCGAAAGGGAGGTTCCCCTGACATCACCCCCCCTTTGAATGCGGCGTCCCGACGCATAGACCGGAACGGAATCGAGTCGAAGGTTGCGGAGGCGATGTGCCGTGGTTTGCCAGGGTACTTACGGTAGAACTCCGCGATTTTGTCCGGGGCGAAGACGCGGTCGAAGCGGACCCACTGGTCGTGCGACGCGTCGTAGCCTTTCCATCTGACGAAGTAATTCAGCCGTTTATACCTCACCCTTGCGTCCAAGATCTCCTCTACTTCCCACTCCGGGACTCCGTCCTCGAGGTCCGGAGGGGGCTGGTCGTAGCCGGGGCGTCCGTCGAAGGGGTCGTCTTGGGGCGAGCTCAAGCTTGACGACGGGGAAAGACCGGGTGGAGCTTCGAGTAGCGCGGAGGGAGGTCGAGCTTGTAGGCACCTTTGCTGATCTCCGCGACTATCTTGAACGGACCGAGGCGGCGGTGGGAGAACTTCTCCGAGGGGCGAGTCGTCCTGATGTCAGAGGCATCCAGCCAAACACGGTCGCCAACCTTGAACTCCGGAGACGGAGTGCGTCTCCGGTCGTAGTAGCGCTTATACTCTTCCTTGGCCTTAGTGAGCGCGGCCTTGGCCTCGGCAACCCCAGTGGCAATTCGGTCGCGGAACTCGTTCACAGACTCCATAGCGGAACGGGCTCCGGGTTCAAAGCCCATGCGCGGAAGCCGTCCCGTGTCCGTCATGAAGGGGACTTGCTGCGTGGATGAGTGGACGTGGTTGTTGTAAGCGAACTCCGCGGCCGGAATCAGCTCATCCCAGTCGTCCTGCTGATAGTTGGTGAAGATCCGCAGGTACTGCTCCAACTCCTGGTTGACGCTCTGTCTGACCGTCCGTTTGCGGATGATACGCGGTGGACGTGGCTGGCTTGATGCCGATTAGACGCCAGAGTTCTCGGGTGAAGTCCGCGATGAACTGTGAGCCACGGTCGGAGACGTACTTCTCCGGAGTCCCGTGATGGCGCCAGACATTCCGGTAGTAGAGGCGGGCTGCTCCTACTGCGTCGACCGTGGTATGGCACTCGGAGAAGTGGGCTCGCTTCCCAAGGGTGTCCACGACGACCATGATCGCGTCGTACCCATGGGCCTCGGGGAGCTCGACAATGAAGTCGACGGAGACGGTATGCCAGCGCTCCGGGGGTGTTTCCGTCGGGTGTAGCTCTCCGTGGGGCAGTCTCCGGAGCGCCTTGGTGCGACAGCACAAGTCGCAGGTCGCGACGTACCGGCCGATATGGCGAGACATCTGAGGCCACCAGTAGTTCCGGGAGACCAACTCCAAGGTCTTGAAGCGACCGGCATGTCCGGCGACTCGAGTGTCATGGCAGAGCTCGATGATGCGCCTCCGGAGGTCCTTGTCCTTGGGCACAACAATCTTCCCACGGAAGTGGAGAAGACCACCGGAGACGGCCCACTCGTCGGAGCGTGAGGAGCGGGGGGCCTCGAGCTTGACCTTGGACCTTTAGGAGTTGCCGGGCCGCTAGTGCGACGGGCTCCTCCAGGTCAGGCTCACCGGAGAGGGCATCGCGAATGTCGCGAAGAAGTTCGGAACCGGGACCGAAACGGAAACACCCTCGAGTGCGCGGACGTGGAAGAGTTCGGGCCGCAGAAGGACGACGTCGGAGTTGTCGGAACCGATTCCATGGTCGGGTCTCCGAGAGAGGGCGTCAGGTCGGCCCATGTCGCGACCGGGCTTGTGGTGCAGCGTGAAGTCGAACCGGGAGAGGTAGAGGGACCAGCGGGCCTGTCTCCGGTTGAGGTGCTGCGTCTTCCTGAAGTACTCCAAATTCTTATGGTCAGTCCAAATCTCGACGGGATGTGCGGCACCCTCGAGGAAGTGTCTATACTCCTCGAGTGCGTGGATGATCGCGAGCATCTCCTTGTCGTGGATTTCGTAGTTGCGCTGGACATCATTTAAGCTTTTGGAATAGAATGCTACAGGGTGCCACTTCCCGTCCGGGGCGGATTGTGAAAAGAACCGCCCCGTCGCATAATCAGAGCTGTCCGCCTCGAGTCGGAAAGGCCGTGCGTCGTCCGGAATCGCCAGGACCGGTTCCGAGGTGACCGCGTCCTTGATCGCTTGGAACGCCGGAGGCCTCCGCGTCGCCCCAAGTCCATTGCTGGTCCTTCTTGGTGAGCGCAAAGAGAGGACGCGCGAGGGCCGAGAAGTCGCGAATGAACCTGCGGTAGAAATTAGCGAACCCAAGGAACTGCTGAACATCCTTCTTGTTTTCCGGAGTCGGCCAGGCGGAGACACCTGCGACCTTGACGGGGTCCATTTCGACGTGGTTGTGGGAGATGATGACTCCGAGGTATTCGATTGACGATTTTTCAAGTCGCACTTCTCCGCTCGGAGGTACAACTTATGCTCCGGAGTCGGGCGCAAGACCTCCTGGACGATCTGTCGGTGTTTCCGGAGGTCGGAATGGGCGATCAGGATGTCGTCCAGGTAGATCATGACATCTCCGGAAAGGATGAGGTCCTGGAAAATGTCATTCATCATCGTTTGGAACGTCGCGGGAGAGTTTGTCAGGCCGGGTACATCACCAAGGGCTCGAACAGGCCTCGGTTAGTCCGGAAAGCTGCCTTCCACTCATCACCTTCTTTGATCCGGACGTTGTTGAAGCCCCAACGAACGCCGAGTTTGGTGAAGTAACGAGCGCCTTTGAGCCGGTTGATGAGGTCGTTGATCAGCGGAAGGGGGTACCGGTTTTTGACGGTCATCGCGTTGAGGGCCCGATAGTCCTGGACAAAGCGGAGTCCGCCGTCCTTCTTCTTGACGAAGAAGACCGGAGACGCCATCGGAGACTTGGAGGGGCGAATCCGGCCCGTCGACAGCCCTTCCTCGATGAA